TTTGCTAAGTGTGTTAATATGTTGTTTAAAATCTAAATTACCATCTATTATAACCCCTAGATATTTAATATATTCAACAGACTCAAGTGAAAGGCAGGAACAGCTGTTATCTCTTGTTAAGCAATCATGAATGAATCACTAAGTTAAAATTTTCAAGGTTGCGAATAGGGGTTTTCTTAATGAATAAACTATATATTTTGTTTTCGTAATATTGATTGAAAGTTTATTACTGTAAAGCCAATTAGTAACTGCATTTATACCTATTTGTGCGGACGAGAATACGTCTTTCCACGTATCCGCAGCAAATATCAAAACAGTGTCATCTGCATATGAAATTATATGTCCCTGAAAGAGATCTAATTTTGTAAAATTATCAATATAAATTAGAAATAAGGTTGGGCCGAGTATACTCCCTTGTGGTACGCCGTGTGTTACTAGTAAATCATTGCTGGTAATATTATTCACACTAACGCATTGATATCTCTCAGAAAGATAACTTTTAAATAATTTGAGTTGAGTGCCTTTGATACCGACATTTTCCAGTCTTTTTAATAGTATTTTTATTGATACTGTGTCGAATGCTTTCGCTAAATCTAAGAAAACTGAAATACACTTTTTTCCACTGTCTAAATACGATGACAAAAAATTTGTAAGAGTATGAACGACATGCTCTGTTGATTTGCCATGTCTAAAACCAAACTGTGTATTTGACAATAAATTATTTTTCTCCAGATATTTTGTAAGTCTATTATTTATAATTTTCTCTAAAATTTTGGATAAAGCGGGTAATATAGAGATAGGTCTATAATTACTTACACAGGTTTTTTCGCCATCTTTAAAATAGGTCGAATTACGGACTTCTTAAGATATCTAGGGAATACACCATCATTTAAACATTGATTAAATATACAAGTTAAAGGAGGTATTAACAAATATTTAAAATTTTTAATAAATTTATTCGAGATTCCATCCCAACCAACTGAGCAGTCGGTTTTCAAATTGTCAATTAATTGTTCTACGAGTACCTCACTTTCATCCGTGTCCAATAAAGCAAATAAATTTAAGTAATAGTTTGATTCTTCACCAATGTTAATATTAAAACTTTCACTATTATTATTTCCTACCTTAAAACTATCTGCCAAACTTTTACCTACGTTTACAAAATAATTATTAACAAGGTTAACAGATATTTGCGGCGTGCTGGATATATTTAACAGTTCTCTGTTATACCCTTTGTTTTTCATGTTACCTATAATATTAGTAAGTACTTCCCATAGCTTCTTATTATTATTTTTAGCCATATTCACTCGCTCTTTTTCATAATTTCTCTTTACCTTTTTTAACAATGCGTTACAGTGATTACGATATCGTCGGTATATAATTTGATCACTTTCACTATCTGGAAGTCGTCTAGCCCTCTTATGTAGTTTATCACGGTGACGAATACATCTAAGAAGTCCAGTCGTAATCCAAGGTTTGGTGATCTTTTTTTGTCTTGGCAACTTTACTAATTTAGTATTAACTTCAATTACTGTTTTTATTTTATTAACTAAGTATTCAAGAGAAGTATTTGGATCTTTAATATTATATATAGGTAAAAAGTCAATGTTTTGCATATCCGTATTAAGTTTATCGTGATCTATTTTTCTGATAGTAGTTGTATAAAACTGTTGACGTTGTTTATTTTTCATACATAAAATTACAGGTTTGTGATCAGTGATTGAAGTTTGAGGAACTATAGTAAGTGAAGGATTATTCGTTTTTAGCAGAACATGATCAATACACGAACCACTTGCGTCACGTGTTACTAGAGTGTGATATGGGTAATAACCCTTGGAATGCTGTCAGTTGTAAATACTTATCCGAATTAATATCTGTTTTACTGTTAATGTTAATGTTTATATCTCCTATTATAATTATGTTTTTATGTTTCGAATATTTCTGTAGTACACTATCCAAAAAGGTAAAAAAAGTTTTCTAAGTTTTTATATGACGGTGATCTATATATTGAGATTATAACAATATCATTCAATATTGTTATGATACAATTCCCTTCTTGAAAATGTTGTCTCTCAGTCGTGAACAAATGTTTTTCTTTTACATATATTACTAATCCGTCATTTTGGTTGTTATTAAAATTAGTGGAGCATAAATTATAACCATTAATTTTGGGTAAGTCGTCCTTATTAAGCAACCAGCATTCACTTAGTACAATGACATTGAAATCTATTTTTAATCTAGTCAGTAATACTTCAAAATCTGTAATATTGCAGTTAATACTTCGTATATTCTGCGTAATAATTGTGAAGTTGGATTCACCAGGTGACAAATACTTATAACAATCTTCAACGTCACAGGCTATCGATCTTGATACCGTAACTTTATCTAAGTTAATAGCGAAGCTTAGAGCGTTATTGTCGCTTTTTATTTATTACTTTAAATTTCTCTAACAAAATCTCGTTATTGACCAAATAATATCTTTTAATAGATAAATTGATTAAAAATTTAACTGTACGTTGTATATATGAAATGAGTGAATATGATTTATTATAAAATGTAAGTGTGATATAAAAGATGTAATTAAGGTGTGTGTACATAATGTTTGATTTTTTTTATGTATTGTGTGTAAATTGTGACTATGTGTATTATAAGGTATAGTGTTAGAATATACTTTATTCTTATTATGTTAATTAAAAAGAAAATAAAGGATGCGAAAATATCTAATCTAAGGCTTATTCAGGCTAAGTCATTCGGTCTTCTGTAGATTTTCTAGATCTGTTTCATTATTTATTCTAATTTGAGAAGAATTTTCATTCTTGCGTAAGTATACAATGCTTCTAGATGTCCAGCAGAATAAATATTTATGAATTTTTTGGAAAATTCTGGCCTGATAGAAAAGTTTTTGAGTATTTTGTGTTAACGTCTCCGTGACATATATAGGGATGTTTTTTTGTGAGTAATTTAGATGCGAAGTATTTAATTTCTCATTTTTTGGTTTTGTTTTATTAAACTTTTTTACTTCATGTAACATCTTTTCTTTAATAATGACTGAATTAAATTCCACTATTATCGGTCTAGTCCCCGTCTTAGAATTAGTTCTATACACATCCTTTATGTCCGAATCCCGCAAATAATTTTTTAACAGTACTACATAGATTTTCTTTGATTCTTCATTGTTTTAGGTATGTTTCTTATTTCTATTCCTGAAAATCTAGACTTTCTTTCCATATTTTCTATTTTCTCCTGTAGTTGTATACTATATCTATCCTGCTTTTTCCCTGCCTCTAGAACGGATATCCGTGACACAAACTCATCATACTTGCTTGACATAGTATCGACGCTCTTTTTTAATTCATCGTTCTGTTCCTTTATACTAGAAACTATAGTTTGTAAATCTTTGAAAAGCTTTGCTTGTTCATTCGTATAAACTGAAAACATTTCACTCATATAAGACATAATGTTAGGATTCACTCCGTCATGTTTCCTTTTTTTACGCTCAGTAACATTTAACGTAAGCGATGGAATATCAGGCGCCGATTCACTGTGAAGTTTTGTCGTCCGTTCTAGCGCGTCGATTGCGCGCTTCTGCGATGTCTGCGATTGTGATGTATCATCAGAGCTCATATGCACGGGCGAAGCGGGCGGCGGTGTACTGTTGATCGGCATTGTATAACCGGTTTTGAAATAAAAGACGCCTCAACGTTAAATTACCAGGACAATATGAGTTAGAAAGTGTGATCGCAGTATAATTGAGAACTCGTACCCCTAATGCAACCGTACAAGTAAAATATAACCGTCTCTCTTCTTATCGTTTTGCTAACGTGTGGTGTCTTATGCTGTGTCCTATTTATTTGTTGATTGTAAATGTGATGGTTTTACTCACACATATAATTTAGTTTGTTGAATATTAATCACTGCCGCAGATGTCACTTGCACTTCGTAAACTGCCTCGGGCTTTATGCGCTCCTAATATTTTATCACTATTTTGTCACAGCATTTATTAAAATACAAGTAATAAAATAAACTATAAACCCGTCTTAACTCTTTGGAAGTCCGGGGGAAAGGGGGAATAATTTATATACTTATAAAAGGCATTTTCGAAGTCACGTCTTGGCAATACCATCACTTTTATATTGGGTATAGGTACATTCACGCTTCTGGCGTCCGCACGAATTGTTAAATTGCTCCTACCTTCACAAACAGATGCTTTGCCAGTCACCACACTTTTTTTGTCAATATTCAATTCATTCGAATTCTTACGTTGGTAATGCGTACAGCAAAGGAGTGAAATAATTTGCCAGCATCTGTCTTTCCATCTGCTTTCAATGTAGGTGTCTTCAAGGCTATAATAAGTAATTCATTGTTAGGTTAAGACAGTGCGTTATACCATCTTCGACTGCATCACCAACTACCATCAGGTGGGATACTAGTAGAGCACCAGCATATAATACTGTTACGATTACCAGTTGCGTATTGCGTCACATTGCATTAAAATGTTCTCGACGACGATAAGGGTCAGCGGCCTTTGTAAAGTAATAAAATGTGAAGGTATAAAAAATGGATAACGCTCGGACTATTAATGCAAACAAGAAGTAACCTTATATTTACGTATTCAAGTAAGTCTTTTCTCCTTTGCATATTCTTATCGTTATGCTATCCTGAGTGTTCTTGTACTTTCCGGTTGAAAGAGTGGAATGATCTATAGTTCTATATTTCTTTAATCGACTATAAATGCAGGAGAGTTAATTATTTCGGGAACGCGAATGTGAACTCTACTCTTGAAAGCGACTATGAGAATTCGACTTATGACATCAGCGATTAATAAGGACCTCGCTAAAGAAGTTTAGTGATTTTAAACGACGTATTTATATACTTGCTGTGTGTGGAAAAATACATCATTTTTACTACAATCGACATTTTTAGTCACCCCGCATGTAACAATACTTAAAAAAAGTCAAAGTGAAACTGTTGTACATTACACTACCATATTGATTAAGAAAATGTTTTTGTATAGGTTACTTCAAAGTGTGAGCAGCAGACTCAAATCCCTCCCCATAACGGAGCTGGTGGAAGCAGCCAACGCCGCTTTATTGCCGGAGGAGATTGATATAGAAGAGTTGCATGTGAGTGTGTTTGTAATTTAAATGGCTGTATTAAGCCTGTAGCCTTCCTATCCATACAGGTAAATGAAATACCAAATGCATAAGAAAGTATACAGGGTGTTAGTGTAAACACTGTTATCCTTGAAACCAGTGGTTTGGTTTCACTTATAGAACGTAAATTCAATGAATTAAAAAAAGCTATTTTCTTTCATAAAATTTAAAAAGTTTCTGTCCGACACCGTCCGTAAATTCATAGATACCCTATGCGCCCGAGTGACGTAATCACTAAAGATCACCGCCCGCGCTAGCTACCTACACAACATTCCAATAAAAACACAATAGGTACACGTAACCTGTGATGTAACTTTTCCTTCATACTTTCATCCTGGCTTAGTGGTTCGGCTAGTTTAATAAACAGCCGAAATTTGTTCGTTTGTTTGCGCTGAATATTAGCAACCGTTACATCAATGTTACTTTGGTTTGGATGTCCGTGTATTTCGCGGGTCGATGTGATGCTTGCTTACTATTGGTCCGTTAAAGTTACGGACATCTTTTGGTCACGTGATTAACGGGTTGTCAACGCCGCGCGCCGTGAGAAAAGGGCACGTTTTACGCCGCTCCCAAATATATGTGCAATCGCAAGTTCCTACCCGAATTGGATCATCGTGAGTGACCGAAATCCGTGTAGCTGGGATCCCCGAAGAAGCACACGAGAGCACGAGCATCCGCCTTCGTATATTCAGGTACGTCCGACCTTAGTAATATTGTCGAGTCAACGGTGTAGAGTAGAATCGGCCAGCGTCTATGCAAATTACAGTCCATTTCCCATTTCCAGCCACTTAGGACAGGCAAAAATTGAGGAATTGTTGAAAAAGTGAAACCAAACCACTGGTTTCAAGTATAACGGTGTTTACGCTAAAACCCTATACCTACGCTGCTTATTAAAAAAAATTGTCTATCTGTCGGTCTGTCTGTCTGTTTGTGTGTTCTGGCTAACCTCCGAAATAGCTGGACCGATTTTAAAGGGACTTTCACTGGCAGATAGCTGAGGTCATTAGGAGTAACTTCGGCTACTTTTATTTTAGAAAAACAATTAGGCTTCCGGGCATAAAAGAAATCAAAACCCATGAAATCCAACCGTAATAAATTATACGCGAACCAACCCGCTGGGAACAGTTAGTAAAACATAAAATTATATAAGGGATCATTAAAAATGATGTATATAGACCCATCTTCAAATTATCTGTTTTGGTTTGACTACTGTGAAAGTATATACAAGGTGTAAGTGTAAACATCGTTGTCACTAAATCCATGGGTAGTTGGCTTTAATATAAAAATAATTATCCGATTTTTTAAAAAAAAAAACGCTATTTTCCTTCATAAAATTTAAAAAGTTTCTGTCCGACACCGTCCGTAAATTCATGGATATCCTATGCGCCCGAGTGACGTAATCACTGTAAAGATCACCGCCCGCGCTAGCTACCTACACAACATTCCAATAAAAACACAATAGGTACAGATAACCTGTGATATAACTTTTCATTTATACTTTTATCCTGGCTTAGGACGGGCAAAAATTCAGGAATTAAGGAAAAATTGAGATTTTACTAAAAAAAAATGTTGTTATTTTTCATTGAATTTACGTTCTAAAAGTGAAACCAAACCACTGGTTTCAAGGATAACGGTGTTTATACTAACACCCTGTATATGCCTACATTCTGTTGCTGGACGTGGGGCCCGTTTAATTCATCATCATCATTAAAGTCCGCTACTGAATATGTACCCCCATAGATTGCCTCAATATCCCAATAGTTGCCGTGCTTGGGAGGTAGGTTGGCAACTGCAGTTTTTTAAAATTATTTTTGTAATATGAAATAAAACACTTTGTTCTGAGTAGATTTTCTTAAGCCACTACAACAGTAACACCATACAGTGTTTGGTATTATCACCTTTTTCTGATTAAAACTTTAATAGGATAAAGAATGGAGTAGAAGAATCAAGTACTTTTATTACTAAGGGGGTTTTGAAACAGAGGAGGAAACTCCTGTGCCGCTCCAGTACGCATGTCTTCCTAATATTTTTCATTTATCAGAAATACAGGTTTCTTGCCATGTTTTCCGACTGTGAAATTCGTTATCATCATCGTTACAGCCGTTCACAAGGCCACTGCTAAACATAGGCTTAACCTTAGGAATCTCATCGAACAGTGCCGAGCAATCTGCATCCATCGACTTCCTGCATGGTTTCTCGGTCGTCTCGATCTAGTAGTGGGTCGCCCTTACACCTTTCTTACCAGTACAAGGCTGCCACTCGAGATCCTTTCTTCCTGTAAGATTGGCTGTGAAATTATAGAGAATCAAATTTAGAGGAACGTAAAAAAATGGTTTAATTTATCCTTGAATAAAACTATTTATACGGATTTTATCGCGTTTAATTAACTTATTTTTAATTCCCGACGTTTCGGATGCTTTACAGCACCCATGGACACATAGAGGATTGAGATATTTGACGTCCCAATGTCATAGTTAACCTGGCGACCTTCAATTTTTTAATATTAATTTTTGGTCCGATCTACGCAAATCATTCAATTCATAGATGAGTTTGAAAAATTTTAACTTAAATATATTCGAGCGTGTATGGAATAAACTTGGGAAACAAATTAAGAAAGGAAATTCTGTTCCGGCTAATTTGAGAGATAATAAAAACGCATTATAGAAAGAATGGAACGCAATCTCTCAAGAAGCTCGCAATGTCTCGGAAGCAGTTCGAAGAGCTAAAGGAGGCAACACTAAGTACTGCTCACGATATTTCCTTTCTCAAGCAATTATTAAAAAAAGATAAAATATTAAGTACAAAAATGTTTGCCTTCTGTAAATTTTTTTTTTATTAATTTGATTAATAATTATGATTTGTTCCTTTTTTTAACGTTTACAATTTTAAATTAACGAATAATAAGCAAAATCCAAATAAATAAACTTGACACTACACTAATATCCATGATATTTTGTTTTTTATACAATTTTTTGCGTTCCTCTAAATTTGTTGTAAAACTGTTCGTGAGTATATTTTAAGCTGAGATTTGTTTTAAATTTAGGAGCCCTGAGTCATTCAATCATTCAATCAAGCTTTCCAAGGTTATAAATATGAAAATTCTTGTGGAAATATTTCAGAACTCAATGCAGCGAGACAGCGGAGCCGACAGCTCAAACGGCACAAACTCGGCCGAACACAAGCCGTGAGTAGGTTTAGTTCCAATGGATGTTGTGGTTTTTATATAATAAATAACCGTATACTATGTGTTAATCAATTCATTAATATCCCCAAGAAATTGGGAAAAAACGATAGCTAAGACTTAAAATTCAGAATATGCTAGCATACCAGATTCAATCTCTACTCTGATGAAATTGGTAATTGAAAGAAAGAAAATAAGTTTATTTAGTAACACATTATAGCAATTTGCTTACAACAATAGCATATTTTGAATTTGGTAAATGGTTACTAAAAAGTTACCCAACTTAGCATATTCTTGGTACTAACAGAGTACTTCAACGCTGATCTCCCGTAGGTGCCAATGAATATTCAACAAAAAGTAAATGTAACAAAATTAATTATTATATCTTAGTCCTCACAGGTTACAACGCATCTGCATTTTGTAGTTGAGGAAAGATGTAGATGTCTATGGGCCACAGCAACCACTTACCATCTGGTGATCTGTTTGCTTGTTTTTATAGGAAAAGGGTGACACCCTTTTCCTATAAAAAAAGAATAAATGGAATGAAAAAGTATTTTAAGACATAGTGTAAATTTTAATTGCAAAAATAAGAAACAATCAAGTACTCAGAAAATATCATAATTTCCTGTTGTAATATTTTTAGTTGATTGCATACAAAGATATACAGAATATTAAGCCTTTTGCTGCCATGTCAGTCACTTTGTACGGAGTATTGCATTTTAAACGTGACTGACGGCAGCTTTTAGTGTTAAATAATAATAATAATAAATACAATAAATTATTGATAAATTCTAATAGGGAACTGCTGTGGTGGCGCAATGAGCTAACCCTGGACAAGTGCCGACTGACCCTGATGGGTTTCAGCAAAGGCTGCGTGGTGCTCAACCAGCTCATATACGAGTTCCACTACACCAAGACCCTCACGCCGGGAGATGAGCACATGGTGAGGTGAGAATTGGTTGATTTTGGCTACTGTGCTATCTTGCATACTATAAGAAATTTACAACCGAGTATACTGTGCCAACAAGTAATTTAGTGTTTTTTTTCTCTTCATCGAGCTGTCATATTTTCTTAACCCACTCACTGCTGAATACAACTTTACAAGAATCCGCTCAACGTGATATAGGAATATTTAGATCTAGGTTTGAGTAGAATTGTCATTTGGGTTTACACTAAGTTGCCAAGTAAGTGGTAAATCAGTACTTAAAATTATAATTAACAATTTCATTGTTTTTTTGATAGGATAGGGTGACAAACGAGCACACATTCTACCTGAGGGTAAGTGGTTGCTGTGGCAGTTGATAGCTTTCGATTGTTCCGCAATGGTTAATAACATTCCGTTCTAACTGAACTTTAAAATTGAATTTCATTAGGAGTGCAGGGCAACGCAACTAATAACTTATTATCTTGAAAAAGAAGGATAGGTCAAGTAAATACCTACGGTTGTCCAAGCTCTGCATCATTAGGAACTCTAGTAGGTCCTTGTAGTAGCTCAATATTATATGCCAGAAGTGTGAGAACACCAAGTGTTGAACTAATCGTTTTTGAATGAGTTCAATACGAAGTATGTGAGTGGCATAATGTGGACGCCAGACCACACTTCCATACTCAAGGATCGATTTGACCAAGCGATTGTATAGCGCAATTTTTGTGGAAGGTCGTTTGAATACTCTAGCGTTTCTTATAATAAAACCCAACATCTTGGACGCCCTTCCTATGATGTAGTCAGTATGTAGGACAAATGTCAATTAACAGTCCATAAGCACCCCCAGATATGCGTCCCCTAACTACTGTCTTTTCTTCTAATCGAATCCCATTAATGCTGTAGACGGATGAAATAGGATCAATTTTCTTGTGAATTTAATGTGAACACATTTATTGATATTCAGCTCCATTCCATTCGTCTGACACCACTTCACTAGCGCGTCAAGATCTTTTTGTAAATTCAAAACATCCTCTTGTGTTTCAATGACTTTCCACAATTTTAGGTCATCTGCGAACATTGACGGAGACGAGTATTTTATGTAATTAGGTAGATCCTTTACAAAGATATTGAAGAGAATAGGGCCTAGGTGATAACCTTGCGAAACACCAGAAGTAATATCGCGTCACTCTGATCTGAAACCATTAACCACTACGTAAAAAGAGCGTCCAGATAGATAGGATTCGAACCAAGCTAGAACAGACCCCCTATTCCGTATGCTAATAATTTTACCAGAAGCTGTCGATGGACTACTCTATCAAAAGTATTTGCTAAAATCTGTATATAACGCATCTGCTTGTTTATTGCCATCAATACGACAAACATGTCCTTAATATACGTAACTAGATTAGCATCAGTAGACCTACCTTTTGTGAAGCCGTGTTGGTTTTCGTTTAAATATTTGTCGAAGTAGGCTTGAAGAATAAGGCAGACTAGAGACTCGTATACTTTAGCTAATGAGTACAATATGGAAATAGGCCTATAGTTGATAATGAGCTGAGACACTTTAGATACCTTCCAAGCATTGGGAAAAACCCCAGAACTCAATAAGTTGTAAAAGATAATAAATAAGGGCTCCATCAGGCATGATGCACATCGTGAAATGAGTAATGGTGAAATATTATCACTTCCAGGGCCCTTCGTTACATCAATATTGACAAATTTTTTATACATTTGCTTGTGGGAAAGATGTAGAGTTGAAAAACTATCGATTCCTGATGTACCAAATATATTCTCGTCAGTATTTATGTCACAGGGGACGCCAAGATTGGAGGTAGTAGAGAAGAAGTAAGATGCAAAGCTATTGCATATGTCATTATCATTTTGTATCACCGTATTACCGTCTGTTATCATAGCTGGATATGTTCCAGAACCACCACATTTGGTCTTGATATAACACCAGAACAGTTTTGGGTTCGTTAATATTCCATCCTCAATTTTACGAATATATGCATTGTAGGTAGCATTCTGAGGCTGATTTCTTGTAACGCTCAGTCAGTAGGCGTCTAAGGAGTTGCTGTATTTTTTGTACCTTAGTCCTTACCCTATTTTTCTCTCGCAAGCGACTAATCAGGTCCTTACAGAATCAGGGAGGATATTTATTAGCATTTGGTTTGACAATTGGTACAAACCCATGAATGGCTTTGTTAAGAACCTCTGAGAACAATTCAAGTTTCTTATTTACAACACTGTGCCCATAAAAAAAGAGACTTCCAATCAACTTTAGCAAAATAGTCATAAATTACAGCATAATCTGGTTTTTGGAAATTAAACCTACTCACAGTATTGGGCTGTAGCTTTGGTCTCTCTAATGGAGAGAGTTCTATAGAGAGAGGTGGATGTAAGCGGGTCAAGTGGACACAAAACGTCTACGGCCTCAGCAACCACTCAAGATGGTACATTGGCCAAGACCAAATCGAGAGTTCTGCCCATAGTGTTTGTTATAGAGCTGTGTTGTGTTAAATTATTTACATTCACGAAATCTATGAAATACTGGTATCATAGAATACCATAATTACATACATAACAGAACGGGGAAGTGGGCGGAGTCCGTGTAGCCACTAAAATGTCACTAAGACGTCAATTCACACGTATCCAAATTTCGCATGCAAATTATTTAGAAAATGCCAAAATGTATTCAAATCCGTCTTTCAACACAGCGAATCGGGTTTGTAGTAGTGATAATACGACGTAATTGCTTGTATGTGTGCTCCCGGCGACGCCGAGTCTCGTACAAAATAACGTTGACAGCCATTCTATTGTATATTATAGTATTCTATGACTGGTATAGTGGTGATAAGTTATAAGATGGATCCCCAACTAAGTTCCAGTCTAACGTCGACAAATTGAAGTCGCTAAATACACATACATGTGAATTAAAGAGTTCGGAAACATGGTTAAAGTTATCAATAAAATGTTTATCATTGACATGTGCACCGGGGTGGCAGATACGCCGCACGCAGAGCTAGTGCCTGAGTACCATCAATCACAACCCAAACATTCTCACATTCACTTTCCCAGTTCTGCATACGTTTTGAATTTAAACGTTTAGAAATTTCAATTAGTGCCCCACCCCCATGTTTGTTCATCTTAAAGCCGGACAGTTCTCTGTCCCTTCTGTATACGGCATATCCTTCCCCAAAAAGTTCAGAGTCATGTCTTTTATTATTCAGCCAGGTCTCTGTTAGCACAATAACATGATAATCTGAAATAAGTAGGTTTTGTAAGAATATCTGGGTTTTAGTGCGTAAACCTCGAACATTTTGATAATACGTAGATAGATATAGAAGTGAATTTTATAGATTTTTGTCGAACTACGCTTGTACTAAATTAACATAATAATTATCATTACAACTACTTAATACTATTCAATGAGTCCATATCTCTTATAAGCTTATAGTCGGAATCATCAGTTTTTCTCATAAAAATACAACCGGGGAAGGACCACACTCTCACAGAATACCAGCATCAAATAGTAGCTTAATGCTGCTGTGTTTCGTATGGTGAGTATAGAGAACCGGAGACCCTTTTTACTGAAAACGAGGCATTCCATCTTAATTCTCACGGGTGACAATGCATCTGCATTTTGATTCGTAATCGAGGAAAGATTGTAAAGTTCACTTTTTGACTCTTTTTAACAATAGTAATATAATCATCCTTTAGTAATAAGTATGTTAACAAGATGTAGATGTATATGAGCCACTGCATCCACTTACCATCAGGTGGACTGTGTGCTCGTTTGTCACCCTATCTTATAAAAAAAAAATTTCAAATGCTTTTAACACAGTCGACCACCATATCCACTTACCTAACTTATCTTAGATTCTCATTCCCAGCTTTGGAATGGTTTTCATCCTATCTTCGCGACCGACAGCAATCAGTACGATTAGGACAAGAATTCTCAAGATGGGCTGACATTGAAACAGGCGTGCCGCAAGGCGGAATACTTTCTCCTATAATGTTTTCTTTATTCACAAATTCTATCATTTCGTTTCTCAACTGTTTGTATCATCTGTATGCAGATAATGTTCAGCTCTATGTGCAATCTAGTGTTAACGACCTTAACGATATTGTCAATAAGCTCAACCACAATCTCAATGCCAAAAGAGATTGGTCGTACAAGTCTCGTTTCCAGTAAAAAGGGTCTCCGGTTCTCTACACTCGCCATACGAAACACAACAACATTGAGCTGCTGTTTGACGCTGGTATTCTGTGAGAGCGTGGTCCTTTCCCGGTCGAGCCGACCCATTCGTGCTGCAACCGTAATAGAACTGCAGCATGGCTCTACCATGTAAAACGTACCTGGTATTGTTGATGCCCTTATTGTCATCTGAATAGTGATAAACCAGGGGGTGATCATAATATGAATTGTTGCTTGCACAGGTTCATAGAGCGGATAGAAGACATGTATTGGTTGGATGGTGGCCACGCGGGCGGAAAGAACACCTGGATCACGTCCAGGAGTCTGCTGGAAACACTCACCAGGCTTGGTAATTGCCGCACATAATACTTTCATTTTGGATTTTTTGGGGATGCAAGGGGAAATACTACCACCCCCATTACTATAAGTGATTATTATAAGAGGCAACTATAGGGTATGACATACATAAAGAATTTGTGGTTTCCGCTAGATGGCGGTATAATCATCTCATTAACGCAAAATATAAAATACCCAGACTGGCGTCAGGGAGCAATGTCATTTAAAAATGTATTTTTTTAATAGAGTAACGGTGACAAACTAACATACAGTCCACCCAGCGGTAAGTCGATGCTGTGGTCCATAGACATTTCATATTATATCCTCGAATAAGAAACAAAATAATAATAATATAATAATAATAATGTCTTTATTTATCCTCTCACATAACATAAAGTAAAACAATGTAAATCTAGTAGTACATATACAGAATTCTATTATGTGAGAAGCTGGTGCCTGAAGTAGGCATATATAAGCCTGTAGTACAAGTCACCAGGTTCCCACCCCTCGAATGCTATGACATTGAATGAAAATATTCTAGGAAAACAATAGATAGATAGATAAACAAAGGAATTCTTATATTATTTAAAATTACAGCGAAAATCCAGGATAAAATACTAATTAAGAGTGTATTATGATATAATATGTATAAATACATATATGAATGTATAGTACTATATATTTATGTTCGTGTAGTGTAGTGTATAGTTTGCGCATGCACGCACGCGTGCTTGTGTGTGTGTGTGTGTGTGTGTGTGTGTTTGTGATTTTGGGTGTGTGTGTGTGCGTACATTATATTTATCTTGATAGGAGCGATTCCGTTAAATCATAATCTAATTTCAGTAGCCAATCATGTACGTTTTTTTTGCAATCATATTTATTTTTAGAATATATAGATAGCTTTTCATTTATTTTATTGTATAAGAATCCACCCATGTAGCAAAAGAATTTTTTTGTATATGTCTTCTTTGTTGAATATGTTGCACAAACTGTGTTTTTACGTCTAACTCCTACAAATTTATGGCGATCATAAGTAATTCCACTGTGTTGCTTCAACAAGGTATAGAGAATAAACAGCTGACGTACCGTTAGTACCTGCCAGTGTCGATAAAGAAGTTCAGTTGGATGTCTATAAGAGAAGAATCCGCAAACTTTTAAAATGGCCCTTTGTGATATTTCTACGCGCTTCATACTTGTTTTAGGAGCACCGCCCCACGAGGTGATGCAGTAAGTAAGTAGACTTTGCGCTAGGGCATAGTAGATACGTGTTAAAGCTGTCTTATCTAGCACATGGCGTACATTTTTGAATATGTATATTAATTTAGATAGTCTATTGGATAATACTTCGATATGATTTTTAAAAGAAAGGTTGGAATCTATTATTATACCAAGATACTTAATGTTATGGACTAATTCTATTTTGTTACATTTACATGATTTTATATTAATATTTGAGAGACATTTGTGTGAGATCAGTGGTTTATTGATAATATGATCAAGGCGTTCTTTACGTATTGTGAAAGCAATATATTTGGTTTTTTCAGAATTCAAGGTAAGAGAATTACTTTGCAACCATTCATTCATCAAATCAAGCCCCATCTGGGCAGCATCCTGAACAGCTTCCCAGGAATTTGTAGAAAAAAGAAGGCATGTGTCATCAGCATATGATATTATATGTCCATAAGGAAGCTGAATAGAAGTGAGATCGTTTATATAGACGAGAAATAATGTGGGACCTAGAATGCTGCCTTGGGGCACACCGTAGGTAATTAATGCCTCGTGACTAATGTAATCTCCGATTTTAGTACATTGTGTTCTATCACATAGATAATCTTTAAATAGAGCAAGTTGCTTTCCTCTAATACCACATAATTCCAACTTTTCTATTAGAATGCAGGTAGACACAGTGTCAAACGCCTTGGCGAGATCCAAAAATATTCCAATAACTTTATTATTTTTGTCCAAATTTTTAACTACGTAATCTGTTAAGTCGTGCACTGCTTCATCAGTGGATCTGCCCTGCCGAAAACCAAACTGGTTAGGGGATAGAAGTTTTTTACTTTCTAAGTAGTTCGTGAGTTGTTTGTTTATAATTCGTTCAATTATTTTCGAAAAACAAGGAAGAATTGAGATCGGTCGATAGTTGCCGACATTTTCTCTGTCTCCAGATTTATAAATTGGATGAATAATAGACCGTTTAAAAACTTGAGGAAATACACCTTCATTAAAACAAAGATTACATATATATGTCAATGGCCCAACAATATATTCTTTAATTTTTTTTATAAAACAGTTAGAGATATTGTCCCATCCATTAGCACATTTGTTTTTTAGGCTCATGATGAGTCTGGAAACTTCTTCTTCGTCAGTTTCGAGTATTACAAAGGACGACGTACAGTTCTGTATTGATCTAATTGCTAAAGAACTTGTAACCCTTTCCTTAACTGCAATATTATCAGCAAGTTGTTTACCTACATTTACAAAATAATTATTAATTGAATTGATAGCCTCTTGAGGTTTCTTCGCGCTGTTAAGCAGTTCGGTGGAATCAGTTTTCATTTTCGTGGTATTTGATATCTCTTTAATGGTTTCCCAAAGCTTTTTATTATCTTTACCTGCTTTACTAATTTTATCTCTATAATAAGCCATTTTAACTTTTTTAATCATGGAGTTACAATAATTTCGATATCTAGTATATGTTATTTTTATGATATTATTGTCAGGAAAAGATTTATATTTTTTAAATAAATTATCACGATTTCGTATACATTTTAAAATTCCTACTGTAATCCAGGGTTTAATAGGTCTTAAGCGGTTCGAAATTGTAGCTTTAATTGTATTCGCTATTAATAATTGTTGGAAATATGATACAAAAAGTGTAGCAGCCTCATTTGCGTTAGAACATTTGAATACAAAATCAAAGTTATTTTGTTCTAATTCTAGTTTAATTTTGTCATAATCAATTTTTGTTCGAGTTCTAGATGTTAAATTATTTTTTTGCTTGGTGTTTAAACATAATATCACAGCTTGATGATCAGTTACCGTCGAATTACACACTACTGTAGTGGCTGCCATAGTTGACCGCATCATAACGTGATCTAAACAAGCATTGAGCCTAGTAGGCATATTATGAGCAGGAAGAAGTCCGTGAAATGCATTTAGATTAAGATACTCAGTTGATCTGTTATCCGTTGTATAATTTGCTATATCTATATTTATATCGCCCATCACAGATAAGTTTTTATGGGAAGACAACGACGTAAGAATTACATTTAAAGATTGTAAAAACAAGTCTACATTTTGAAAGCTAGGCGAACGATAAATTGCAACTATAGCAATACTTTTGTGTTTTATTACCACACAGTTTCCTTCAGAAAACATGGGTTCCGTAATTAAAACCCCAATATCATTTTTGTAATAAATTACGATACCATCATTTTGGTTATAGGTCTTTATAGACTTGTAATATGTGTAGCCAGGTATTTGTGGTATTATGGAATTACACAATAGCCAACACTCGGTTAAAATAATAATATCACATTGTATTCTAATTTGCGTTAAAAGAACTAGGAAGTCATCTATATTACGTGAGATACTGCGAATGTTTTGTTGTATTATTGTGAGGCATGTACTTTCGTCAATATTTAATAAATAGAAGTTTTGTGTATCGCATCTCGCCGTATCCGATACAGTAATATTGTCAACATTCTGTGTAATTTCATTTAAATTATTGAATTTTATAAAGAGATAGCTGCTTATTCCAATCAATTGATGCCGATATATTATACATAAGTAATGAATATTGTGTAAAAAATAAACCAAAGTATATTATTATAAGAAAGTAATAACGAATTTTAAACACAAAAAGTCTAAAAATACTAAACAAGGTTAGATGCACTATTATTTTGTTGAAATTCCTAATTTTTTTTATTTTATTAAGTAGTAGGTAAGATGAAAGTGCATGCCTTATATAATTTGCGGGTATAGTAACCAATGGACGCTCTAAGATATACATTAGCAGTTTATATTCCACCAAAAACAAACCAAGACTTACGAATGCAATATACTGCTTAACACAGGGAAATGTATTTATAACCACAATAGGTAATAATACATTTAGAGTAATGAGAAGCATTTCAAACGATTGGGATATTGTGATAATTATTCGTATTGTTTTATGGAAATATTTTTTTATTGGTCTTATAATTATAGTCAAAGTCTGTAAAGCACGACAATAACACATGGATTTATAACGAATACCAATTATTGTCTTCAAATTATTATCGCAAAAAAACTAATATTAAGTATGGGAATTCAAATATAATTTGAAAGAAGGTGTAGTATATTTTAATAACACAAAGTACTGTTTTTTTATTCACTCCATCGTAATAAAATGTAAGCATACGTTTGGTTTTGTAAATATAATTAAATTTTTTATTGTCTGTAAATATAATAGGCAGAAGTTTATGTTTTATGCGTAAAAAGTATGAATGTATGTTGCAATGTAAAATATAATATATAATTATGTTAATAAAAGTAAAATACAGAAAAAGCATGCAAAAGTGTACCATCTTATACTCGTATATAATAGACCAATCAGAAAATGGAGCAATATTTATTTTGTTCACTGAGCCTAGTCACTTCAGTCTGTTTAAGTCTTCTTCCGAATCGATTTTTATGGACGGCAAGCCATCTATCTTCCTTAGAAAAATTTTTCCGTATGAGATCCAGCATCTGTTATAATTATTAGTCTTAGCAAATTCTTTAGCAAGGTGAAATAACCGCCTAGCTTTGGCAGTCAAAGCTTCGCAGACAAATATTGGCCGTGGTGGTCCGTCGAATTGTAGGTGTTTAGAAGAAAGTTTCATATCCCGGTTTTGTTTATTAAATGATTTTACTGAGCGAATTATTGACTCCTTAATGGAGGTGGTATTCAACCTTGCGATTATGGGGGTATCCTCTTTAAACTTGGATTTTATACGGTAAATGTCACAGATATCGTTGTCCTCGATTGGCTGATTAAGGGCTAAGCCAACTTGTTTCAATAATTCACAAAGAGCCTGTTTATTTTCGAATCGCATCTTAGGTACATTTCTAATTTCGATGGTGGAGGCAAGAGCAGAGCGTTCCATAAGTTCTATTTTGTTTTCGAGAAGTGTTATTCGAGACTTACATCCTTCATTCTCCTTATGTAGACTTTCCATTTTTTTTAGAACATTATCATATTTAGCCGATAGAAATTCAATAGATTGCTGAATTGCGTAGTTCTGTTCTCCGATTTTTTTCAGTGTATCACTAAATGTCTGAAATTTGTAGTCTTGTTGCACCTGCATGTCGGCAATCATTTGTTTCATCTCTTGCATCACAGAGTTATCCGATAAATTATCATCAAATTTTCTTTTAATTCGTCGATTATAGTTAACATTTGAGAGCTGCCCTTCATCTTTTTCAATGCTAGTCGTGTTAAGCGCAGAGTCAGATAGATAACGCGTAGGAGAATTTTCTGTTGCAATGCATGGTAGCATGCTAGGAGTCCTTTGAAGTGACATTATACAGAAAGTAATGTTATAGGCCTAAATGAATAGCGGACGGCACTGCAGTGTTACTGTATAGGTGTATTTATATATATCCAATGGATAGTCCTAACAAATATACGTGTAATGTCAGTCAGTCAGTCGCACGATATTATTGGCTATCAATTAACTTTAAACGTCTAAACACAGTAAAATATCTCCACACTTCTTATACTGTCGTCAGCTTACTCTCTCACACACAGCGTTTCGCTTCCTTAATCTTCAGCGCTCCTAGTATTATACACTAAGCGATTCGAATGTCACCGCTTACTCGTGCACTTTTTTGCATTAATAATAAATAATGTTGTTTCTCTCACCTAGTAATGGGCGGATCCAAAGTTGACGTATTTCTTCATCGGTTTTGTTGTGGCGCGGCAACAATACGTTTCTATCTATCTCCTTTGCCCTTGCGCTTATAAATATTGCATTATTCACCTTCTACCAAACGTACCAAAGTAATCTTGTTTAACAAGTGACCTCTTCAAGTTTATGCACTTCTATTTTTCTTGTGTAAATAATATTTCACAAACTTTTAATAAAATATGAATTTAAACAATACAGAAAACACGTCAATATCATACGACATCCGAGAGCGGGGGGGAAAATGAAGATGCGTTGGCACCCCGAGGACTAAGATGGAATGCTCGCATCCAAGAAAGGTTCACATGCACCATATGAAACAGAACAGCAATTAAGCTGCTATTTTACAGCAAGAGAGCCAAAAAAGTCGTCCTTTACCCCCCCCCCCCCCCTCATTTCGAAATATCTTGAATATGAGTATTTTAATCAAAAGTATTCAGTGACAGCTAATTAATTTTTTTCGAGATATTATTGGGATAATTTAAATTTTACCGAAAATACGCTCGAGGCCATGCCCATTGTCATCATGAAAATATTGTGTTGTCCACAGATGTGAACATCTACGTGCATGTAAGCCCATACCAGGTACAAGACGAAGTCCGGCCCTGGATTGGCAGAGAGGAGAAGGCGTTCACTAGTCTATTGAAGAAACTCGGCGCCAAGGTACAGTAATTGTTTTGAATTATCTATGTTAGTACACAGCCATATAATATCATCAATGATAAAATAATATTATTATAGTACGGTAGCTTTTCTTTTTTTTTTTAAGAATAAGGGTGACAAAAAAACACACCGTCCACCTGATGGTAAGTGGATGCTGTGGCCCATGGACATCTAAATTTATCCTCGATTAAGAATCAAAACGCAGATGCATTGTCACCCTTGAGGACTAAGATGAAATGCCTCGTTCCCAATAAAAAAGGGTCTAGTTCTCTACACTCACCATATGACACCATACGATGCACCATAACACAGCAGCGTTAAGCTGCTATTTTACGCCGGTATTATGTGAGAGCGTGGTTCTTCCCCGGTCGAGTCGACCCATTCGTGCTACAACCATAAGATAGCTGCAGCGTGGCTGTACCACCGTATAAAATGAAAATAATGACAGGGTGCGGACTGCGAACACAAAAGGTCGTGGGTTCAAATCCGCCATTCGACTACTGTCGTGAATCATTCCTAACCTCCCCATACTACCTGGTTAAAGAATATATTAGTAATGTTAATTGCATTGCTAGTATTAAAAATATATATATTATTGCTTATTCAAAAAAAGAGAATTTTATTCAAGGTCGGTTTTTGAGGTCAATAGAGGTCAATACAAAATAAATTATTTGGTAAAATTGCCTCATTTTATTTACTACACTGCCATTACATCGCTAGTAACTACACTAAAAAGCTTGCTTATTTTCCAACAGGAAATTTCTTGAAACATTAAAAAAACTTTTAACATTAAATCATCCAGTCTTGCATTATATTTTCTCTTGATGGGGACGTCTGTGACGAGTTTGTATGTATTGTATATAAAAAGGGTTGGATGATAATAACCTCCGAGAATGAGGTAATCGTAATCAAGCTATTTCTAATTTATATGATTGTAAACTGTCCTTTTTTTTAATTAAAAAATTTTGCTTTGTTTTTACTGGTTCCTACCCAGGATAGAGGTATTTTCCAAACCAGTGGTAAATTAAATATAGGAGAGAATTTCAATAATTACTATTTATAATCTATATTAAATAAAAAAATTCAATTTCTAGTAGAGGACAAACAACATTGCGCAAAATAGTGATGAGATGATTGTTTAATCAGGTGGAGCGCTATCTACACGATCAGCCCGACGCGCCGCATTCTCTGCACATGCACTTCGAAGTGCTCACAGCCTTCGCGAACCCAAAATGCCCTCCGCTCTACAACACGGACTCTGATGAAGACATCTAAACCCAGTCAAATTAAAATACCTTTTAAGTGAGATTTTAAAACGTTAATTTCATAAATGCATTTTATGTAATACAAAACTGTACAAATAACTTGTTTTACTTAAGTAAAGTGTAATATGTACTTGTAGTGTAAATATCATATTGAATGACATTATTTTATTAGAAATAATTTGATCTCAACGATTTTTAATAAGAATTTTCAGTAATAAAGTCTATTTTCGATGAAAATGTTTTATTTTAATTTTCCCGAACATTCTCGGTCTGTACCTATTTTAGCAAGTGTTTTTTTACTGATAAAAGGCTAGCAGGTTAATATATTTTAGAGTAAAATTTAATCATCTAGGATTTTATAATACCGCTGATACGGCTTTCACTTAGATTTTTACAAATAAATAAAAATCCATTCATCGGTATGTAAATAAACATAGAAAAATTGACATCCTCATCATATTCCTCTGTTTCCTCTTCTAAAACTGGATCGATTTTAATGGTTTTTTCCCCACTAACAAAGGAGGATTGTATGTCTGATAACAGAGTTTAGTTATATTAATTTACGAAAAAAAATGTTTTGTAAAAATATTTGTTCATACGTCCATTATGCCGGAAGAAAACGAGCAAATGAAATGAAGCTGAGTAAAAATAAACAAAATAAATCTGTTAATACAGTTTATTGATTGAAATTCATTGACCATATTTGAAATTGCACATATTAGAAAATAATCTACATCTAAAGAAACAATATATCCTAAAATTAAACTAGCGAGTGGACACAACCACTTATTGTTTATAGTATACTACTGATTTTTATTATTTAAGATTTGTACTAATTACATAGGTTTGATAACATGCTGACATAGTATAAAGATAATATTTTAAACCAGAAAATGGTTTAGACGTCCCACACTGATAGAGCACATATATTAAAATATATTCACTCATATAATATATGAACAAAATACAATTCCCAAAACCATGCAAATATAAGGAAAAATATATGGAGTGGGACATAAAGATTAGAGAAACACTATGGTTACTTCTTTAATTTGAGTAATTTAATTTAATATTGCAATAAAATTGTGCTTATTCTTTAGAATAAACAAGTGTTAAAATAAAAAAAATTGTACAACCGACTTCAATATAAATGAAATGAGAACAATGTAGTTGAAGTCAAAAACGCATTATTAGGGTTACTTCAAAAATACTGGTCAGATCTTGAACAAATTTATATAGCATCACATAAGAAAAGAAAAGCTGGTGCTTTCAAATAAAAAAAAGGATCATCAAAATCTGTTAACCTAGAAAAAAGTCGATTTGAAACCTCCTCTGAAGGCGGTTGAAAAGAAGAAAAATGCTAATTACTTGCTAGTGCATTTTTAGGTATGCTTAAGGCACAAATTGAATCTTAGAAAATATTAACTCGTCAAATATGACTACTGCAGAAGGTAGACTATTTCATTAATTTTTATATATTCTAAATGTCATAAAAATATAAAAGTAAATCAGGAAACAAGTTTAAACCAACCATATATATAATTAACCGCACCCTATGGACAGTTAATTTTAACATGCTCAAATATGTTATGTATGTTAATAAAGAGACCTCGCAATGTAATTTACCATCTTGTTTTATTGTATGTTGACTTTTATACTTAAAACAAAAGGTAATTCGTGTAAAATTGATTTGATCATTGTACATAATTTACAAAAAATCATAGAACAAATGCTCTTTTATAATTAAGAAAATATACCAACTAGGCATTTGTTGTTGTACAACATAGTTTAAAATTAAAATATTTAAGCAATTCATTGCAGGTGTAAAACAAAAATAAAAGCAAATTCTAAGACAAAAACATGCTTTTATTTATGAAATTTGCATCATAATCATATAACAGGATATATACTTTATTTATGAAATGTGTACAAATAAGTGATCCACGACTACGAAAAATAATTTATAAAATATTCAAGCTTGAAATGATAATAAAATATGTCATTCAAAGAAATAAAACTATAGATTAAATATGTTCCCATCCTCAAAGGATATGCTAGCGCTGACAACATATAATTATGTTAACAACTGTAAACAATTCTTACTTCTTTTGGCCAGTTTTTGTTTTAGAGATATTCTGTGCTCTGTGAATAAAACGTCGAATATTTGATGCAGTCTATAGCCAATATGCTTGACGGAATGTATTCACATGTTTTTGAACTGTCCATCCTTGTCTAACATAAGTATATTGGGATTTTCTTTTTCAAACTCCGTTGGTTTCCTGTCCCTCTGTTGGTCGGTCCACTCTCCTTCTCCCACTCCCCACTCCCCCACCTTTTCACCTATCACATCTACTTGAGCTTTAGCTCTAAGCTTCTCAATCTGTAAATGATAAAAATATGGTACAATTTAAAAAGTGACAAGCAAGATATTGTTATTCAATACGAGCAACACAATGAATGATGATGTGATTTTTTAACATCTGATCATAAATCAAAATTCAGATGCGTTGTCGCCCCAAGAACTAAGTTGGAATTCTTCATTACCAGTCGAAAGGGTCCTTGGTTCAGGATATTAACCATACGTAGCACCAGCATTATTCTGATATTTTACAATGGTATTACGAGGGCGACACTGAAAGTTTCCAGAACCGACCACTTGTAAGCGATATAATAAAAAAATAAGTTCAACTTTTGAAAATGGAACTCTTTGCCAATATTATTGTGTATGTATTTTAATTTGTTTGTTAATGTTTACGATTCGACGGCAAATTGAAAATTGTTTGTGTTACGTCAGCATGAATTTAGCGCGAGAAAATTTTCGTACAATGATTTTTTATGAATTTCGATGTCATTTAAGTCAACAAGAAAGTTATGATGGACTTCGATTGGTCTTTCAAGATGAAGCCCCATCTCGTGCCAATGTTTGCAACTGGTTTAATGAGTTTAAACGTGGTCGCACTAATCTCACCGATGATCTGTGTGAGGGACGGTCTTCAACGGCGACGACTGAAGATAACATCAGTGTTATGCGGCGTATGATATAAACTGACAAAACAGTGACTTATCAGCAGATTTGGACAAGCTTAGGCATCGGTATGAGTCAAGTGTACAAAATCCTCCATGAACATTTAGCGGTCAGGAAGCTTTGTGCCCGGTGGATACCTCATAATTTGACAGAGGCCCAAAAACTCCATCGTGTTGATTGCTGTCGTGAAATGAATGGTTCAAACATTTAAATTTAAGTGACTCAAATGCTGTGTTCGACATACTAACGGGTGACGGAAGCTGCATTTATTGTTATGTTCCTGAAACTAAGAGACAGTCTGCTGTCTGGGTGTTCCCTTCCGAGGAGTTGCCAACTAAAGTGAAGAGAGGTGAAGCGTGGGAAAAAAGACGGTGGCCTCGTTCTTCGGAAGGACAGGTCATTACGCAACAATTGTTTTAGAGGATCGAAAAACAGATACTGCAGAGTGGTGCACTAACAATTGTGTGCCACTTGTCTTGGAAAAAGTTCGGGAGAAACAAGGATCCTTCTTCACCACGACAACGCCTCGTCGAACACCGTCAAGCAAACAATCGACTACTTGGCGACGTCAGACGTGGAGTTACTGGGTCACCCGCCCTATAGCCCCGACCTCGCACCTTGCGATTTTTATTTATTTCCGAAAATAAAAGAAAAACTTTGAGGAAAACGTTTTATGGACGCCGAGGAAACAGTGGCTGCGTTTCAAAATGCCGTGCTTTTCTCAGTGGTTCCATCGGATGCAGCGATGTATTGATGTAAATGGACACTGTTTTGAAAAGATATAATAAAACTAATAACTTACTACTAGCTTGTTCTGTTTTTGATTTTCTAAGAACTTTCAGTGTCACCCTCGTATGTGCCAGTGTGGTCCTTCATCAGTTGACCACACTTATTTGTGCTGCAACATGATTGTGAGCTCAGATTTTTTAGTGCTCGCTGTAAATTTAACAGTACGCGAGCAACTCGAGTTCGATCCCCGCCGACACCAATGAAATCGTTAACTGTCATTTTAAGTGCTGATTTACCACGTGCTCGGCGATGAAGGAAAACATCGTGAGGAAATCTGCTTGTTGGGAAATAAGGAATAAAATTTCGAACATATGAAGCTCGCCAAAACGCATTGGGAATGCGCGGCCGACAGTTTCTTGCCCTAAAACCCTCTCAGAAATCAGAAATGAGACAAATTAGCACTTAAAATTTCAATTTAGAAGTTTATTGGTGCTGACCCTGAGAAATGAAGTGAACTTAACCATGTACTATGAAAAATATGGCAATAGATGATGCCCTATTGAAGCTGATTATGAGCTGAAGGAATGTAGAATTATTTTATTTATCAACTTGAAGATGACTTATGATGTAGTCATAAAGTTACAGCCTATGTACGTCCCACCGCTGGCCACAGGACACCCCTCATTTCTGAGAGGGTTTTAGGGCAAGAAACTGTCGGCCGCGCATTCCCAATGCGTTTTGGTGAGCTTCATATGTTCGAAATTTTATTTCTTATTTCCCAAACAAGCAGATTTCCTCACGATGTTTTCCTTCATCGCCGAGCACGTGGTAAATCAGCACTTAAAATGTCAGTTAACAATTTCATTGGTGTCGGCGGGGATCAAACTCGAGTTGCTCGCGTACTGTTAAATTTACAGCGAGCACTAAAATCTGAGCTCACAATCATGTTGCAGCACAAATAAGTGGGGTCAACTGATGAAGGACCACACTGGCACATACGAGGGTGACACTGAAAGTTTTTAGAAAATCAAAAACAGAACAAGCTAGTAGTAAGTTATTAGTTTTATTATATCTTTTCAAAACAGTGTCCATTTACATCAATACATCGCTGCATCCGATGGAACCCACTGAGGATGAGGAATCGAGAGCCGAGGAAACAGTGGGGCATTTTGAAACGCAGCCACTGTTTCCTCGGCGTCCATAAAACGTTTTCCTCAAAGTTTTTCTTTTATTTTCGGAAATAAATAAAAATCGCAAGGTGCGAGGTCGGGGCTATAGGGCGGGTGACCCAGTAACTCCACGTCTGACGTCGCCAAGTAGTCGATTGTTTGCTTGACGGTGTTCGACGAGGCGTTGTCGTGGTGAAGGAGGATCCTTGTTTCTCCCGAACTTTTTCCAAGACAAGTGGCACACAATTGTTAGTGCACCACTCTGCAGTAACTGTTTTTCGATCCTCTAAAACAATTGTTGCGTAATGACCTGTCGTTCCGAAGAACGAGGCCACCGTCTTTTTGCCTTGCCTACAAATATCCATACTTGGCTTTAAAATCCTTGCAATCTACCGTTCTCCTTCTAGCCATAATGCAGATGACTTTATCAATTCCTTAAGCAATCACTTAAAAACTATAGTGTCATGTAAAAATGTAATTATAACTGGTGATATAAATATTAATATCATCATCAAAGATATAGAGCAAACATATGAGCGCACAAATAGACACAATTATTTTAATATGTTAGCGGGTTATGGTCTGTTACCAGGCCATTACTTGCCTACAAGAAATAAGAACTGCTTGGATCATTTTATTTTGAATATAGATAAGGATTGTCACACTGCGTCTATTTTTGTTTTGAACTTTACTATTACAGATCATTGTATGATATCGATTAAACACCCAACTACTTTAATTGAAGCGTATTAACAGTTAACAGTTAAGTACCATTAAAAATTGTCTGGTAATGAATACTGTAAGAGAAATAATACCATGTAAAAATCGCCTAATTAAACCGTGGATAACGTTAGGTATATTGCGGTGTATCCGAAATAGAAATGACATGCAAAAAAAGCAACGAAAGGATCCGGAAAATGAAATTTTAAAAATAACATATAGAGGATATCGCAATTATTGTAATAACTTAATAAAAAAAACTTAAGCGTAAATATGAGAGAGAACAGCTTTCTAAGTGTAAAAGATCCTAAAGTACCTAAAGTACTATGGAAAACCATTAGCAATTTAACACAGAGAAATAAAAATAAAACGCAAATCAATAAACTTTTAGAGATAAAATCATCTCCTCAAGAATCGACCAATCACGTGAACCACTATTTTGCAAATATTGGTAAAACGCTCGCTGAAAATATCACTTTAAAGTACTCACAACTGCATAATGTTAGTGTACCACTTATCTCTCAAGGCCTCATCATTCGTACTTTTAGAAACCGATTCAAAAGAGATAGGTGCTTTACTGACGAATCTTAAATCTGAGAGTACCGCAGGCTGGGATGATATACCAACAAGATTCTTAAAACTCGCTAAGGAACATGTAGCTCCTGTGATAGCTCATTTGGCAAATCTTTGCTTTAGTCAGGGCCATTTTCCCAACTGCCCTAAAGCGAGCAATTATTACACCAGTATATAAGTCTGGTGACATGGAAGATACATCAAACTATAGACCTATCTCTGTTTTGCCAGTCATCTCAAAAATCCTAGAAAAACTCTTAAATAATCGGCTAATATCTTACTTAAACATACAAGCTGCTTTCTGACCATTAATTCGGATTTAGAAGAGGGATTTCTACCGAAGATGCCGTAATTAAATTGACTTCTCTTATCGTGGACAATGTGGATAAAGATAACAAATGCTTAACTGTATTTTTAGACTTGAAAAAAGCCTTCGATACCGTGTCGGAGTCGTGTCGAACCCACTTTAGTACGAAGGCTCGAAAATATAGGTATAAGAGGAATCCCTTTAAAACTATTTGTTGATTATCTCACTGGATGTGAACAATGCGTGAAAATTGGGCCCTATGTGAGTGAGCACCGTGACGTGACTTTTGGTGTTCCCAGGGTAGCGTGCTTGGTCCAACCCTATTCTTAATATATATTAACAATCTATGTTGTATGAAAATCAGAAGTGGACAGATATTTTCTTACGCGGATGACACAGCTGTTGTCTTTACGGGGCGGACTTGGGATGATGTACGTTCAGTAACAGAGAGAGGTCTTGCCGAGATAAGCAGTTGGTTAAATAATAATCTCTTAACTCTCAATACCACCAAAACTATTTACATAACTTTCTCAAATTATAATAATTCACAACAGGAAACAAATTTTGAAATCAAAATACACACATGTTCTGAATTTTCCAACCCTGATTGTACTTGTAACAAAATATCAAAAGTAGACAAAACAAAATATTTAGGAGTCAATTGACCATTGTCTATCCTGACATGCACATCTTGAACTGATGATGACTAGGATGCGGAAACTTATATGGATTTTTAAAACTCTTAGACATATAACAGATAAGACCTTACTGAGTCAAATATATGTTTCATTAGCTCAATCCATTTTGACATACAGTATCCCAGTTTGGGGTAGGGCCTCTAAAATGAAGTTTCTGGAACTAGGAAGAGTACAGAGATTATTATTGAAAGTGATGCACTTTAAGCCCTACAGATTCCCTACTAAAGAGTTATACACCCTATGTGATCACCTTTCGGTCAGGAAGCTGTATATCCTTAACTCTGTATTCAGATTGCACAAGACGCCGATATATAACCCCAAAAATTGCGATAGAAGAAGAGGACATGCTGTGGCACCAGTAGCACCCATGAAAACGAAATTTGCTAGGAGGCAATTTAGAAGTCAGTCTGCTCATCTCTATAACTATAAAAAGTAAAGTTACAGCCTATATACGTCCCACTGCTGGGCATAGGCCTCCCCCTCATTTCTGAGAGGGTTTTAAGGCAAGGAAATGTCCGCCGCGCTACCCCAGTGCGTGTTGGCGAACTTCACATGTCTTCGAAATATTTTTTTTGTTATTTCTCAGACATGCAGGTTTCCTCACGATGTTTTCCTTCACCGGCGAGCACGTGGTAAATCAGTACTTAAAATTGCAATTAACAATTTCATTGGTGCCGGCGGGGATCTATAACTATACTATATTTTTTTATTTTTTTTTTTTTATATATATATATATATGCAACGACCAAGCATAATGTGAAAAAACAAATTACAGCGTGGTTAAAGACGATAGAGTATGAAGAAACTGAAAATTTATTGAAATAAATAGAAAAATTACACCATAGCATAAATACTTTCCACAACACACGCACACACACACACACATACACATACACACACACACACACACACACACCGCACGCACGCACATGCACACACACACACACGCGCGAGCGCACACGCGCACACGCGCACACGCACACACGCGCACATGCACACACACACACGCGCACACACACACACACACACACACGAGAGCGCGCGCGCGCGACCGCACGCACTTAATTTAATCTTTACGTATGCGCAATTTTATATGTATCTAAAATTGTTATGGAAAAGCGGTGTCCCCTAACACAGGTATTGATATACTTAAAAGGAGACCCCAGCCTAGTTAATGTATTTAAATTTAAGATACTGAATAAAGAATTTTGAATTTTTTGAATTTGGAACTGTAGATGTCTATCGGCCACAGCAACCACTTACAATCAGGTGGACTGTGTGCTCGTTTGTCATCCTATCCTATAAAAAAAACAAGATATATCAGTGCAGATTAAGAACTTTCATGTCCGCAAAAAAGGCAGTAGTTAAACGTTTACAATTGAAATGTTCACATATGACTCATGTGACAGTGAAATGGTTAAGCAATATTATTAAAAATGAATGAATGATGAGAGCATGGCAGTGTAGGATATTCCGCCAACCTGTTACCTCCGAGTCGTGTTTGGCAAACTTGTCGAACATGTTGGCGTACAGCTGCTTCTCCTTCTGCTTCTGTTTCTGTATTGTCGCTTGACACACTATGATCTGATTGGCGGCAGCCTGTTGGATTTGAGAAAAAAATGAGACCGATATATCAAACATAATTAATCAAAATATCATATCCTATCGATAAACCTATGTACATAACCCAATCCAACCAAAACCATATATAAGAACACATATCCAACACCAATTACCTAACCAACGTACAAAAACGAAACGCAAAACGCAAACTGTGCCAGAACGATCTGCTAAAACAGTTCACGAACACGAACTAACCGATGTCCTTCGTGGATATTCATTACTTCTCGGATACCATAAATATGTATAAAAAGAGATAAAGCGAATATGGATTTCGTTGCGGTGTTTTGATAGTTATCACACAACGGTGCATATCGCGAAATATAATTACTTAAAGCAATAAGGTAGAATTTTAAATGTTTAAAATTGTCTAAATTTTAGTTTTGATTAGTTATGAGTAATAAAATTTTAAATGATCTTTAGGTAACTGGACACAAGGCTTAGATTTGTATCTCTCTTTTATGTTTTGGATTGAAAGTTCTGAATTTGATTTTTTTTTCAAAACGCAACAATTACGCTCTTGACCTTGGTGGCGCGTGCCGTTCTCAAGATATTATCTATAAAATTATGAATTTTTGAGGTTAAGTTCGTACATTTATTCGCAATATTTTTGTGCATTTTGTACATTCGTTTTAATTCAGACAATTATTTGTACAGTGAAAATATAGTACCTATATTATAGTTTAAGTTGATTTAGACTCTCTTAATCATTTTTGTAAAGTCTTCTAAAATGTCGCGTAAGGCTAGTGAAATATTGTCTCACTTTGATAAAAAAAGACAATTCCATGTACCTTGCTGTGTGTAAATATTGTCAACAAACGTGGTCCTATAAATAAACTACATGGAACTTAAGTTCCTACTTAAGAAACTTATCTGCTAGTCCTAAGCCTAGTTAAGCATGAAGAATAATCGCCAACTTAAGTAATCAATAATCATTAATAACTAAACTACCTTTAATAATCTAAGTAATTCGTAAAATAAATGTTTTGCACTGGTTTCACAGTGTGCGGTTATGTTTCGGTTGTCGTTTGCGCATTCAGTAACAAACCATTACCTCTTATATCGATATTTGAAAACTGTTTTCAATGATATGAAAACTCCTCCAGACCGATTTTCGGTCGCGGCGGCCTGCCTCAACGGAGGCAAACCATCGGCGCAGGATAGTGTTATAGTGCCCAAGTGTATGCGCAAGCACAGATGCAATCTCTATTCCCTCACTCTCATAATCCGATGGGACGGCAAACCGATACGACCGGAGAGAGATCAGGCGCAGGACCAACGGCTTTACGTGCTTTCCCAGGCACGGAGGTGAGACACCGCCAACATCCTGACTCCGGGCAACTACTTAGAATTTCTTGACGGAAAACTCAATTATTGATTTTTTGGCCCGACCCGGGATTCGAACCCAGGACCTCGCGATCAGCAGTCGCACAACTACAACTACTAGACCAACGAGGCAGTCATGAAATTATATTATTTTAAACTATATTGAAAGCTCAATATTGATTATGATTGTAACCGTTGCAGCAAATAAAACTGAAAACGCCCATGCTTAAAGACTAACGATCCGCAATGGATTCCCCTGGATAGAATGTATTAATGTGGCGTTATTTATATCCACCAGGTACCGAGTTTCCATTAAAATAGTTTTATTAATATTCTTATTAATAATTATATTGTTTGAGCTTTAACTTAATGAATAGCTTAAGTAGTCTTATAAGGTAATAGTTATTTTGTAATGGAAATTATTTTATCGGCTTACGGTACAATCATTTTTCTGAACGAAGGAACACACGGTCCACCTGTTGCGGCCTAAAGACATCTACTTACATCAATCCTCCATTAAGAATCAAAATGGAGACGCTTTGTCAACCCTAGGCACTAAGATAAAGTCCTGGTTTGTAAAAAGGGTCTCCAGTTCTCTACACTCACATACGAAACACAGCAGCATTAAGTTGCTATTTTACATTGGTATTCTGGTGAGAGCATGGTCCTACCCCGGTCGAACTGACCAATTCTTGCTAAAATCATAATATCGCAGCAGCATGGCTCTACCACAAAAAACCAACCTGATGTTGAAGCTAAGTTTCCAGCACTGAATTCCAGGCTATTTCCAATCTCATTGCATAGGCGTTATATTCAGCGTGGTTACGTTATGACAAGATGTAGGTACTTCAGGACAACTTGCGCAACAGGTACATTCTGTACATGGGGCAAGATGGTAAAAGGTTCCACCACCTGGGCTAGCTACTATGAAACCTTGCGGAAGTTGCAACCTACCTGTAAATCTCAATATTCTACTAATATATATTCAAGAGAGGAAAATTCCCGTATCCTCATTTAAAAAAGTGAGATTCCCTGTGTATGAAGATACACTTTTGGTAATAATAAATCCTCTGAATATCGATATTTATTTAATCGGAATTTATAGCCATTGATCCAAAATTGGACATAACAATATCATTATAAAGTATAACAATTACCTTATTTTGAGGCTCAGCATCAGCAACCTTCCGGAAGTCCTGTAGCGCTTGTTCTGCATCACCCAATCCTAGCAGTGCCTGCCCTCTTCTGAACAGACCTTTCACATTAGAAGGATCGTATTTGAGAGCATTGGTTGCATGTTCTCTGGCTTCGTAATAGTGTGGTGGCGTAATCTTCAAATACACTAACGATAGATTCAAATTAGCCGACAATATCAGCTCTTTCGCTTGTGTCTTGATTACTTCTGTCGCACTTGGGTCGTCAGGTACGGCTAGAAAATAATAAAATTTTAAAATTGAGTTTAAAATAATTAAAACAACAAGTATTAGTCATGACTTGTAATGATCCTAATCCTAATAGAATACTATAATATGGTTACGAAATTATTGTATTATTCAGACATGAGGAAGTAGGTGAAATCTGATTAAAATTCTGATACAATCATACATACATCATATAGGTCAAGTTAAATTATGTATCTTTTTACTTACTTCAGGCAACAAAATCTGTATTATGTATTATATAAACATACATGGATAGAGATATACAGAAGACAGATTTACAGATATATATATATATATATATATATAATACATAATACAGTTTCCGAGATTCCGATTATATATATATACTGACTGACTAGACTGGAGAGTAGCCATCTGCGCAAAAGAGGATTATAGTGCACGAGTATATGTGCAATCAACCAACGAGGCATTCAAACAATTTACAAAGACTATAGAAGACATTTTCATTTCACACAACAGTGTATTTTATATTATTCCTAAAGTGTATAATTATTTACCCAACTCTTTGCTTGAAACTTTAAACAGTAATTGATCAAAAATAAAGTGAAGAAATTACTTTTAGAAAAATAATATTATTCGGTAAGGGAATTTCTTCTTTAACTGAAAACAAACAAATTATTAGATGTGGTATCATAGCTGGCTGACCTGTACTGTGACATTTCATTTGACATTTTATGTGACATTTAATATTCAAAGTTGACATTGAAATATTATTTCACATTAATAATTATTTATACATTGTAATTTGATATATTGCGCAAATAAAGCATTAATGTGAAAAAAAAATTATAAGATACCTTGAAAATGAAGGAAAAATAAATAAGAGCTTAATTTCGACTCTATGCGACTCGAGCGGTGGCCAGCCATGATACACTACCCGTAATTCATAACTTATGTTTTAATGTCTGTTATTTGATAATAAATATAAGTTACGTGATAGTAATATGGTCACCTTAAGCTTTGCCGCGCTATAAAACCAAAACTAGGAGGACAGAGACAAAAACATAAAGTTGTATACTATAACTAGTATATTAAGGAAATAAATAGCAGACAAACTTAGGTAATAATTAGGAACACTTCGAAAAATTTACCTTTAAAAAAACATTTAATGACCATATTACTAGAACGACCTACTAGAACTTCTTTGATTGACTCATGAAGAGCTATCGGCATCACAGAGTCCTCTATGCAAACAAGGCTGTAGTTTTTGAGTCATAAAAAGTGATCATATTAACCGGATGACCATATTTTCATCATGCACCCTATTCAAAGAATCATTCAAAACTTACATTCGAGTAAACTAATAACCTTCTTGTACATCTTAATTGATAATTGAAATTTATTGTTCTTAAAGTAGTTGGTGCCTCTCTCCTTGAATATCTTTACTTGTTCCAACTTTTCATTAGTATCCATGGCCCACGCTTCTTTGGTTGTTTCAAAATTAACTAGCTTCACTATGTATTCTAATGTGGAGTCCGGAGGAACTCCAAGTTCAGCATTACCCTCCGATCGGAACCCGTACTGTGGTGCAATTGTTAGTCTAGATTTTTCGCCTTTCGAGAAACTTTCCAAAGCTATTTCTATGCCTTCACAGATGTTATTCTCGCTTCCTTCACCAAGGGTGAATGTTACTGTTCTGGTATCAAAAACTTTATCGTCACCTTTTAATCTTCCTTCGAGTTCAACTGAAAAAAGACACGAATATTTAGTTTTGATTCTATAAGAGTATAGAAGATTATAATATATAGTATAAGACTATATATAAAATAGCATAATATTATGTACAATGATGAGATAAAAACTTTTCTTCTTGGGTGATAAGTTAGCATACAGTCCACTTTATGGGAAGTGGATGCTGTAGCCCATAGATATGTACATCTATTCTCGATTAAGAATTAAGATGCACCTGTGTTGTCACCCTTTGAAGACAAAGATGGAATACCTAATGAGTGCCTCCAGTTCTCTACACTCACCATACGAAACAAAGCAGCATTAAGCTGCTATTTCACACTAGTACTATATATGTGAGAGCATGGGCCCTCCATGGTCGAGCCAACATGCACCAAACTTAAAACAATATTATAATTGATAGAATCAGGCGTTACTTTGCGGAAATCCTCAGGTGATGTAGACTCGCGTTCTACGGCGGCTGAATCAGCCTACATCACCTAAGGATGCCTCTTGTAGAGGCGAAACACGTGTCGTATTATCGTCGATGGTGTGTCTTTCCTGGAGTAGTGGTGTTGGGAGTAGTGGTGCCGGGAGTAGTGGTGTTGGGAGTAGTGGTGCTGGGATTAGTGGTGACGGGATTGGTGAACGCAATTGAGGGAGGACGGGAGGTGCTCTTCAATCCAGGTAAGACACATCATTGTATTTAGTTAGCGGAAGGTTGCAAATTGATTAATATCTTTATTAAAACAATATTTTACAAACAGGAGACCTATTATTAAAAACTCTATAATTTTCGCTTTCCTTTTTTACTAGTTTGGCAACGACCATTCGATTCTGCCAGTGTCCAGTATTTCATGAAAGTCACACAGTCAGAATAAACTTTACTATATAGCCCGTACGGATAAAGAATGGGATTATATATGGCAGCTCATCGAGCCCATACTGTCAACATGCACAATACTTACTACTACTACAAAACTTTAACGAAAATAATAATACCGCCGCTAATAACGGTAAATCGTTATTATATGATAATTAAAACTTAGGTATATTATTCGATTAGTTAGAAATTTTCTATTAATAGAAAAATATTTGAATAGAATTATATACACAAGTAGTCACATTAAAATTAAAATAACATTTATATCCAGTGACCCGCACTGGCTTCGCTTGGATAAAATTGAATTAGTTATAAATATAGATTAGTAAATTATTCATAAAGACTAAAATAAAACAATGTATTTCTTAAATTAAGTTTATATTAATTAACAGTCAAGAAAATATGTATATTTCAAATAAAACAATAAAATAAAACTAACTAAAATAAAACAATGTATTACTTAAATTAAGTTTATATTAATTTACAGTCAAGAAAATATGTATTTCAAATAGGACAGACAGGCAAGAAACTCTATAGACATTTATTTTTTACATGTAGTAATCTTTGAAAATTAAGTAATTAATTAATTATATAATAGGTTCATTAATAAATTAAGTATTTTAATAAAATTAAAAGACGGACTGAAGTTATAGCACGTACGACAAACGCATATCGCAACATATTTTTTTGTAGTCGATACCGGCGCGTGTGAGTATATATAGCGACTGTGTGCGAGCGAGAGATAAATAGAGGCGACTCTATTTTCAGTCCCATTCTTTACACAAATGGGTTTCTTTTACTCTTAGATAAGAAGTTACAAGTTATTTTCAGACGAATTTAAATATATAGCTTTACAAAATTACTAAAGGTACAATAAAATTAATTATATTATAGTTGTTAATAGATATGAAATTGAATAGCTTACACCAAAGAAAAAGTGTAAACTAAAAATAACACAGGCTTAAAATTGATAGGGCGATGTAATTTTAGAAGGATATAATTACGAAGTAAATTATATAGTGAATATGAAAGGTTAGGACCACAGAAATCGTAATAATAAGACAGTAAAATTCGCATAGACGCGTGACCTTGTCGCCGCTATTATGTGTTGAAGACAATTCACTATTTTGTGATTTAGTTGCGCGGGGAACATCACGTCGTACGTGAATTTATGGTATAATGGTGAACTGCAGCATAATAGTAAAAAAAGTAGTAAAAACTTATCAAGGACGTGTAATTCTACTAATAAAGGCATAAAATCTCATAGGTAAGTTGATTATTCATTTATTATAATTGTTTTTAACTAAAAAACCTTTGTAAACTTTCATTTATTACTTTTTGTATTGGAAATTACCATTGGTGCTTTTGTTGAAAGCTTTTGTGAAATATAAAACTACTTTAAGTTTTAAAAATTTAAATGCTTCTTCAATTTTCACTGGTGAAGCTGTTGCAATTTTAGAAGCAATTTTATTTATAAAAACGCACAAAATTAACAAATGTATTGTTTTTACCGACTCATATAGTTCATTACAAAGCATTTCATTTAACGCGTTTCGAAGTAAATCAAAATCCCCAATTATTTTTAAAATAAAAGATGCACTGTATAGATGTTTTTGTCAAGGTATTAACTTGAAATTTGCTTGGCTGCCAAGTCATAGTAGCATACGTGACAACGAACATTGTCGTTTCCTTAGCAAAACAAGCATCTACTTCCGGACCCTCATGCATAACATACTCATGACCTTATTTCTCTTGCGAAAATCCATCAGATGGCAGATTGGAACTCTCTTTGGAAAAAATTTCAGAAGTCTGTCGGTTAATATTATGCAGAACTCCAACCAGACATTCCCTCCAAACCATGGTTTTTTAAATTCAGAAATGGCTCCATACATAGCACATCTGTCATATGTAGAATTAGATTGGACACACTTGTTCACCTGTATTTTTTTTTTTGTTAAACTTAGATTAATAAAGTGGATTCGAAGAAGGTACGATCGATCATAAATTTTTTAACTGACCTGTCCTCGCTTGCTCCTGTTTCAATATACAACTTCCTCTCTAATAACATCCCTCGTCCTATAAATTTTAAGTCTTTGTTAAATTTAGTTTACACTCCTTTTGTACAAACTTTATTAGACTTCATATCTATACTAATATTATAAAGCTGCAGTGTTTGTTTGTTCTCTGGAACTATCTCTAGAACTACTGGTCCGATTTGAATGATTCTTTCAGTGTTGGGTAGTCCATTTATCGAGGAAGGCTATAGTATATGTTTTTTTTTTCAAAATTAGGGATCCGTAATAAAATTGCTATTTTGTAACACAAGGTGTAAAATCGAAAACCTATTTTTGCGCGCGCTGCAAAAACTATTGACAATAAAACAAAATGATACTACGGGTTTGTAGATCCCATTAAGACCTACAAAAAAGTCCGCGAGAACATATATCTAGCTATCATGGTTTAATCACAATAACCGATTTTGTGTTCAAAATAATTATTAAATCGTCTGAAGAAAAAAAACTACGTTAAATATGTATCGTAATATTAATCTTTATCGAAATTAAGCATTATGTTATCAAGAGTATGTAGAAGTAAAATACTTTTTGTTTCATCTCAATCGGATATTTCGTTTAAAAGTTATCACGTGTGTAAGATGTTAAGAGTTGGTACCTATTAATGAGTTATGGGCCATAGAGTTTTTTATCAACATAAAATCCTGTAATAATCTTTTTCGAAATATATTTGTTGATGATTGTAAGTATAAGATCTTTGAAGAGTATAATAAATACATTTCTAAAATAACTCTGCTAAGGAAATCCACGCGCGCTTGATGCAAGCAAGACGAGACGCTGGCGGCGCGGCGGCGGGCGAGACGAGGAGGCCGCGCTTGCTGGCCGCCTGTCGCTCCCCCTCCCCCAGCCGCGCCGCCCGCATGTTTTGGTTTACAAGGTACCATGCCGCGCGGCTCAGACGCGTGGTCGGCTCCCTAAGGAACCATTGAATGCAGCGTTGCTTTTTTTGAAGTCATTTACGATAATTCCTTTGACATATATTTCATACGACTTTTAATAATTACTCACCTTACGTTTCTTTTACCTGATTACTACGTTTCAGTTTATTTTAATTAAGTTTTAATTTTATACGGTTTTTCTTTTACCTGTTTACTATAATGCCTAGAAAAAGAACTCAGCTTTCTAGGCAGACTGCTACTGCAAAGCGATTGCGACTTCTACGCAGCAATGAAACACCCGAAGAAAATCTGCACAGGTTGGATACTCAACGAGCGGTCAGTGAACAAAACCGTGTTAGGGAATCGAGCGTTGAACGTTCACTGCGCGCAGCGAACTTAGTCTCACAAAATATCCGTACTTCGGCGAATCGACAACGGGAATCAAGTGCTGAACGTTCTCAACGTTTAGCCGCACAAAATTCCCGAACTTCGGCAAATCGCGAGCGGGAATCAAGCGCTGAACGTTCTCAACGTTTAGCTACATGGAATTCCCGCACTTTGGCAAACCGGCAACGGGAATCAAGCGCTGAACGTTCTCAACGTTTAGCTACACAGAATTCCCGCACTTCGGCAAATCGGGAATGGGAATCAAGTGCTGAACGTTCCCATCGATTAGCACAGCAAAATGCACGAACAGCAAGGAACAGAACTCGCAGGCAATATAATTTATTGAATTCAGCATTTGCTTATGATTATACCCTTGACTATGCTGATCTAAATGGTACTAATTTAATATTAGTTAATATTTGCAGAATGAATAAAATATGTAATTCATGTCAAGCAAAAAAATGGCCGGCTGAAGCTCCTGGACTGTGTTGTAGTGGTGGCAAAGTAAATATTCCTAAAATTCCAGCACTAACATCAATTCTTAAAGATCTAATATCAGGCTCACATCCATCTTCTAAGCATTTCTTAAATCACTCTAGACAATATCTCTGTTTCAGATGACTTCTATTTGGTGCCAAAGAAATTCGTGAAGGAAACTTTATGCCCACTTTTAAAGTCCAGGGGCAAGTTTACCATCTGATCGGTAATTTACTTCCACCTGAAGGCGCACAACCCGAATTTTTGCAAATATATTTTATTTCCCATACAGATCAGGTATCTTTACGCTCAAATTTAAACCCAACGTTAAAAACCGATCTTATAGACGCTCTCCAAACATATCTTCACGATCACAATACTTATATTTCAAGTTTTAAATATAATCTCGAAAACAGACCAACGAATGATTTTAAACTTATCATTCATGCTAATGTGAAACCTCCTAATGAACATCGAGGTCGATATAACGCGCCCATGGTAGATTAAGTAGCTGTTCTTTTAATAGATGAAGACAAAGGTCCCCGAGATATAGTGTTAAATACCAGAGACGGGCGCCTTCAGCGAGTTTCTGAAATACATAGATCTTATGACCCACTTCAATATCCTTTACTGTTTCCCTTTGGAAATGACGGATATTGTATAAATACTCCACAGCAAAATACTGCTGCTAGATCTAAAACTATATCATGTATGCAGTTTTATGCATTTAGACTCATGGTGAGAATAAATGACTTTAACAGCATACATTATTTCAAAGGATTATTTAATCAATACTGTGTTGATATGGCGGCAAAAATGATTTCTGAGAGGCTTGACTTCATAAAAAGAAATCAAAAAAAAACTAAGAACAGAAGAATACATTCATTTAAGAGATGCCGTGGTTAATGATGGCAATGTAGACGCTTCTAATGTTGGCCAGCACGTTATATTGCCATCGTCATTTACAGGATCTCCTAGATACATGAATGAAAAAAGTCAAGATGCCGTGATCTATGTCAGGAAATTTGGAAGACCAGATCTCTTTATTTCACATGTAACTCCGAATGGCCAGAAATAAAAATTGAGTTACTACCCGATCAAAATTCTTACGACAGACATGATTTGCTTTCTAGAATATTTCATTTAAAACTAAAACCATCGGACCATCGAAAGCCTTCGTTTATAGTGTAGAATGGCAAAAAAGAGGTTTACCTCACGCTATCATTTTGTTGTGGCTGGCTAACAAAGTGATGCAATAATATCGGCTGAAATACCTGACAAACAACAAGACCCAATGCTTTATAACATTGTCATAAAAAAATATGATACATGGTCCTTGCGGATTTCACAATCCTGCGTCACCATGTATGAAAGAAAAAATTTGCTCTAAAAATACCACAGGCAGTTTATTTCTGAAACACAAACCGGGGATGACGGTTACCCAACCTACAAGCGCCGTTCACCAGATAATGGTGGAAACACCGCAATAATTCGTGTCAAAGGTACAGAAAAATGAGAGTGGATAATAGGTGGGTTGTTCCCTATAACCATGTGCTATCACGAAGTTTCAATGCACACATTAATGTAGAGTTTTGTCAATCGGTCAAAGCCATTAAGTACATCTGTAAGTATATTCATAAAGGTTCAAGCCACATTTTCGTTACAAAATAATAACGATGAAGTAGAAAATATTTAAACGGTCGCTATATAAGTTCCTCGGAAGCACTCTGGAGAATTTTCCAATTTCCGATTCATGAACGTTTTCCGGCAATAGTTCATTTAGCAGTTCATTTAGAAAATGGACAAAGAGTTTATTTTTATAATAATGAAAATCTTCAAGATCGCGTCAACAATCCTTCATCAACGACACTTACAGCGTTCTTTGATCTTTGCAAAAGAGACGATTTTGCTAAAACCCTTTTATATCACGAAGTACCCCAGTATTACGTATGGGAAAGAAATTCATTTTCTAGAAGAGGCGTGGACAAGATGTTGAAGGATATCCCGGTATAAAAAAGACTCAACTTTAGGTCGTGTCTACAACATTCATCCGACACAAACTGAATGTTACTATTTAAGAATGTTACTGCATCATGTTCACGGTCCAATGTCATTTGAACATCTAAGGGCAGTAAATGGTGTTATTTTCAATACTTAACAAGGAGCTTGCAAGGAATTAGGTTTACTGGAGGGAGATGAACATTGGCAAAATACTATGTCAGATGCTGTCATGTCCGAGCCGGCTCCAAAATTAAGAGAATTATTTACCATAATCCTCATATTTTGCCAACCATCTGACCCCTTGCAGCTATGAAACAAATTTCGGGAAGATTTGTGTCAAGATATATTATACAGAATGCGTAATGAGACCCAGGATATGACATTAGCATATAGTGATGACATATACAATGATGGACTTATCATAATTGAAGATAATTCATGAGATTTGCGATAAATCATTAACTGATTTTGGGCTTCCTGCAACAAAAAGGAATAACACACACCATAATTTGGATCCTTTAGAAATAGCGTTGCGGAAGCCATACGATGTAAATAAATTAAATGAGTATATTACTGTAAATGAACCCAAGTTAGTTAATGACCAGGTGATGGCATACACAGTGTTCGTTTCAATGAGGGAAAAATATTTTTTTTTTGGATGCTCCAGGCGGAACCGGCAAAACTTTCATTACTAATTTGATATTAGCAAAAGTAAGGTCTCAGGGAAAACTAGCTTTGGCAGTAGCGTCATCAGGAATCGCTGCAACTTTATTAGCTGGTGGACGCACAGCTCATTCCACTTTTAAACTGCTCTGTGATTAAATCATGGGTGGGATTACTGTCATGTTTGCTGGGGATTTTCGGCAAACTTTACCAGTAGTAGTAAGAGGAACTAGAGCAGACATTGTAAAATCTTGCCTCAAAAGTTCTCCATTATGGAAATTTGTTCATACCTTAAAACTATCTACGAACATGAGAGTACATTTGGGGGGAGGTAGTACAAATTTTGTTTTGAAGTTACTTTTAATTGGAGACGGAAAAGTACCTCATTTTGAAAATAAAATACCTATTGATCAAGATTTAGGAGAAAAAGTGACTAGCATTGAGAGTTTAATATTAAAAGTTTACCCAGATATCGTCGAAATAGAAAATAAAGATTATCAATGGATGTGTCAACGAGCAATATTGGCGGCGAGAAACAGTAGTGTTGACGAAATTAACGATTTAATTTTAACTAAACTTCCAGGGGATATAGTCACCTACACTTCTATTGATAATGTAATGGATCAAGAAGATGCAGTCCATTATCCACAGGAATTTCTTAATTCTTTAAACCCGAGTGGCCTCCCCCCACACATTCTCTCAAGTTAAAAATTGGTGCCCCAATTATTTTACTTAGAAATCTTAAGCCACCAAATTTATGTAACGGGACTCGACTTCAGGTTAAATTTCTTCGAAATAACGTGATCGTTGCAACAGTTTTGACTGGGCCAGCGGTTGGTCAAACAGTACTTATACCTCAGATCCCAATGATTCCAAATGATTTGCCTTTTCATTTTAAAAGAGTCCAATTCCCAATTAAATTATCTTTTGCCATAACGATAAATAAATCACAGGGGCAAATATTTAAATATGTAGGGATTAGATTTACGGCAAGACTGTTTTTCGCACGGCCAACTATATGTCGCGTTGTGAAGATCAGGTTGCGGAAACAATCAACATATTCTTCTGCCACAAGAAAATAAAACGAAAAATATACTTTACTCAGAAGTACTTTAAAATAATATTTTAACCCGGTTTAAAGTGGACGGACACTCCCGCCTGTAGTCGTAATTCTTATGTGTCTGGCTGAATGTCGAACAGATAGACAGCTATTGCCTGCGACTTATACAATTTAACTTAATCTATATTTTTCTTAATATTATAAAGCTGAAAAGTTTGGTTGTTTGTTATGAACGCGGTAATCTCGAAAAATACTGATCTGATATGAAAACTGTTTAAATATTCAACAGTCCATTTATTGAGGGAGGCTATAGTATAGGCAATATTTTATCTCGGTATTTCCACGGAAACGAGAAAACGCGGGTGAAACCGCGGGGCACAGCTAGTCCATTAATAAAATTAAACTATAGTACTTTTACCGCTTACCTATATCCATTTTATTATATTAGCAATAATTTTGTAAAACTATTATATGTTAATTCATTCGAAAATAACTACCTATGTAACTTCGTATCATAAAGCTAAGTAAGCATTTCTAATGAAACGGAAACTAGTCGAATACTCTGTGTGACTTTCATGAAACTTCACACTGGCAGAATCCATAGGAAGTTGCCAAACTAAGAAAAAAAGAACATAATATTGTAGGATCGTGCTTTAATAAAATGTGGCGAATCTTCTTAAAATTTTGTTGATTGTTTCCATCATAGAATGCTATAATACATACATTGTCACTAACACGTCAATTCACACGTATAAATGTCAACACGTGATGTGTTTTGACGTTACAATCGTTTCCAAATTTCGCATGCAAATTATTATAACATTAATCAAAAGTCTAAAATATGTAAATTTACTTAGTCTGTCAACACCGCGAATCGGGTTTGGCGACGCCAATCATCATATAAAATAAAGTTGACAGCCATTCTATTGTGTATTATTCTATGATTTTCATTGTAATTTAAGTCACAGAGCTTGGTGTGACAAGGCTTTTAATCACAGATTTACCTAATAGAACGTGAACGACTCGGATGAAAAATATCTGCAGTGTAGACGAAAGTCGCGAAAAGTAAAGGAAATATATTTTTTAAATTTGACGCATTTTCTTAAAGTCTCAACTCAATTCTACATTTTAAATACAGAAACCAGTAGAGTAGTAGTGGCGGTGTAGGAATATCCATTACTCCATATCGTCAAATGAGTGTCGTAAGAGGCGACAGAGCGAAACATAAAAAACTTAAGTTGCCAAGCGTGGCAACTATGGCAAATATCCCCCCCTTAAGAATTGACCCAACTTTTGATAGGCAGTAACCTTAGATTAATTTGTTTTATATCTCATCAATGATGAAAAAATATTGAAGTGAAAAAATATTTAATACCTGTGACTACCCCGCCATCAGCAGGACTCACATTTCCAGAACCCTTCTCTAGAATATGGCGCAAAATCCCCTGCTTTTTGTTAGGGCTTAGATCTTCCACTTTCCAATCGATCATTTCTATCTGCAAATTCATAATAGTACAGCAAATTAATTACATAATACTATTCAATATTTTAAAGCGATACCGATAACATATAAATACATGATAGACAATCATTATGAACATAGGCCTCCCCCAAGGAATGCCACAAAGCATGGTCCTCAGCCACCTCACCTCCATCGAATTCCTGCATGTCTTACTAGGTCGTCAGTCCATCTGGTGGAGGTCGCCCTACACTTCAGCTTACTAATCTGTTGGGCTATGTCGGCTACTCTGGTTCTATTGCGGATATCCTCATTTCTAAGTTTATAATGCAGAGAAATCCCGAGCATAGCCCTCTCGATGCTAGTGAAGCAGAAGATAGACAATAGGATAATGAATTTTTTATGCTTTTTATATATGGTGAATAAATTAGCTTGAGTTTGAATACTCACAGCAGTAAAAATTCGGTATTTGACAATATTGTCAACTGAAATTCTATATAGGGGCAGCAATAATTATAGGGAGTTTTCGGCATTTTAACTCCCCGTATCTCAGAAAGCACGTAAAGCCGTAGATCCTGCGCCTGATCTCTCTCCGGTCGGATTATCATCCCATCGGACTATGAAAGTGAGGCAATAAAGCGTGCACCTGTGCTTGCGCATACACTCGGGGACTTTAACCCTGTCCTGCGCAAATGGCTAGTCTCCGTCGAGACTGACCCCTGTAATCGAAATTCAGTCTGGAACCAGCTGAACGATGGGTGTGTTCATTCCAGATGTGTTGGTGTTACATTTGAGCTAACTGCTGCTTGTAAACTTCTCAGTAAATAGGTCTATTTACATAGAATCTTCTGTATCAGTCTATATATTTTTACTACTAGTAATCCCGGCTTTGCACGGGTGGTTTTTAGATCTCGACAACACCCGAGTCTAAATGTGAAAATAAGCAATCTAGGCCATCAAACACACACAAAAATGTCATCAAAATCGGTTGGATGGCTTCAAAGTCTATAATGGACATAATAAAAACATTTTTTGTCTTTTATATTGATAGATTGTAAATAAGTGTTTGACTAATCTTGCAGACACTAGCATTATAATAGGATGGAAAGACATGCTGGAAGATTGTTCCATTCCTTTATTGTTTGAATGCATGTTAAGTCAACAACAAACGGATGAGGACCAACCGAGCGTCTGGTGGTCTGATGATGAAATGGAGAGCGAGGAATTAAGTATGCAGTTCCAGATCATCCTGCTGAACATGGGTCTTTATACATTAGCCATAATCACACTTGGCAAGCAGATTATATTGGACACCTCTCAATCTTCAATCTGGTTATTTTACTACTAGCATATAACCTGATGGTACATGCCAATTTATCAAAGCGCCATGAGGTCTTTCTGGCCTATCCCATAGACACCCCTTAAGGCACTCGAGGGGTAAGAAAATATCTACTCAAATTATTATTTACTTGATATTTACCTCAAATTGTAAGGTGGCATTTGGGGGTATTTTTGGTGGGCTTCCATATTCACCATAAGCGTATTCGGGGGCGCAAGTCAAAACGCAAACTTCGCCCTTCTTCATTGTCGCCACGCCAATATCCCATGCTTTTATCACAGTACCTGAGCAAAATATACAAAGCATTAGTGTTTCAGTTCGGGTATCTTGGTCATGTATTAACTAGTGATGTGCCGGATCGTTAACGATCAGATCGATCAGACGGAGGTACGGTATCCGATGATACGGATACGAATACGGATATTTGGTGTCAAGATCTGCGGAAACGGATCTTAATTTCTTACTCAATCGGTGTCAGTACGCGTGACCTTGAAACGATAGGTGACGCCACTTGATGATTTGCGTGACAGGTCATGTTTCGACTTGCATTGCCCTGGTCTTTCTTATGTTTTGTTTATAGTTTAGTGTGATACTGGACAGAATAGATAACGTTTGTGTTTGGTACATGAGTTAAAAAATTGTCAACAAAGAAGTTTAGTAATAGTGTCATTTGGAATTATTTTGTGATAATAAATGATGAATGTGCGAAGTGTAAAATTTGTGACGGAAAATAATCCCGTTTCATCTACACAGAAAACATCCTCAAGAATTTGATTTTATTGATAAAAAGACTTCGCTAAGAAGTGTATCGACGAAATATCACAGCCGGGAACATCTTTACAAACGGTAAAAAGATAATTTGGGGGGGGGGGGGATCATATTTATCTTCCTGACAGTACAATAAACATACATCACGCACTAAATGAAATGGGATATTTTTTTAATTAAGAACAATATGGTTGTAAAATTTAAATCTAGCTAGGTAACAAAACTAATTAATGTTGATCAAATCTGAGATGTTGATTTTCTGTGAACTTATCAAAGTAAAATACATACTACATAATAAAATAAACACTATTTCCAATTATATGCTCTATGTGCACAACAAGGAAATATTGCAAGTAATAATGACGATGATGATGATTTATGAGGATTGGAATGTGGTCTTTCAATACTGGCCTTATGAGGTAGTTCAAGGTCGCTCAGTAAGCTATATAGGGGTCTGTGCTCGTATCTCTACATTGTCAACCTAGTGATGGGGACAGGTACAGTAGAACCACGCAAATTGATAAGGCCCAACAGAACGGTGGGCTAAATTGGCAATGGGTTGGCCGGATAGCATGAGAACTGTTGGGAAAGAAAGATTCTCAAGTGGAAGCCTCGTACTCGTAAGTGAAATGTAGGGCAGCCTCCCACTAGTTGTTAAAAAATGAAATAAAAAGTAATTCACAGGTTGAAGTCAACAATTCTAGCTATATGGCCGGCCTATTGCCACATTATTGCCACTACTGTTGTCTATTGGCCATTTTATTTATATCCATATAAATAAAACAAAATAAACGCTGTCAAATTTTCTCAATACCCTTATTGATAATATAACTGCTTCCTTGATAAAAAAATTGGCATGAGAATTGGTACCCACGACCGGAAAAATGTGGTTTTTTACATATCTAACAAACATAAGTGGGTGCAAAAACATATAAAAGATAAAACATGGTAAATATAAAATAGATAATATCCACATATTTATTATCTTTGAAAAATAACAATAGAAATAAATTATATAATTATGCATTAAAAACTATTTAAAAAATAAAAATTATTTAACTAAAATTATCAGCATAAAACAAGTTTAACAGTTTCTATAACCTCTTACAAAATGCTGTTGCAGATGTCATGTAAAAGAAAAGTGAAGGAATATACTGCTCAACACAAAGGTATTACGTGAGTGTAATTTAATCATATGGGATGAATGTACGATGGCCCACCGAAAAGGAGTAGAAGCGGTAGACAGAACTTTAAGGGATATAAGACAAAATGATCGACCAATGGGAGGTATCACGGTTTTATTTTGTGGTGATTTCCGACAAACCTTACCGGTAATACCACGGGGAACCCTGGTAAAGCTAAAGCTGATGAGGTTACGACTTGCCTAAAAAGCTCTTATTTGTGGCGTGATATACAATCGGTACATTTGACTATAAACATGCGAGTGAGAACTGGAGATAACCCGTATGATCGTCAATTTTCTGATAAATTATTAAAGATTTGTGAAGGTACCGATCCACAACTACACCAAGGAAAACTTATTCTGAACGTTTGAGTAATGTTGTATAGTGCAATCCCAGCCACATCTTATATCGTCGGTTTATGGTGACGTAACAATTATATTAAATAGGGCAATTCTTAGCTATGCGAAAGATACATTTTAACTCCTCGCAATGACCATGCATCTGAGATTAATAACAAAATACTGTCGAATATACAGGGGGAAAGCAAAGTTTATAGTTCAATAAATAGAATGGTCGATGAACAAGACGCCACTAATTACCAGATAGAATTTTTATATTCTTTAAATATGCCCGGACTTCCTTCTCATGAAATTTGTTTCAAAATTGGCATTCCGATTATTCTGCTCCGAAATTTAAGACCACCACAACTTTGCAATGGAACTCGGCTAAAAGTAACCCAGTTGCAACAAAATATAATCGAGGCTCAAATTTTAACTGGTTGCGGTGCAGAAGAAACAGTCTTTATTCCCAGAATTCCCATAATACCTAATAATTTTCCATTCCAATTTAAAAGAACGCAATTCCCAGTATCAGTGTGTTATGCAATGACAATTAATAAGGCTCAAGGTCAGACTTTTCGTGTTCCTGGAGTAGATCTCGGTGTCAGTTGTTTCTCGTATGATCAGTTGTACGTCGCTCTTTCCCGGGTTAGCAGTTCTAGAAATCTTTATGTTCATGTGCCGGACGGGTCAACTTTCAACATAGTTTACCCGGAAGCTTTGCGCTGAAGTATTTTTGTTCTATAAGTACTTAAGCCTCATGTGAACGTAATCTAAACAATATTACCAATATATTAACTTAATAACACACACAGAGTTACACTCCATCCAAAGTCCAGCGACACTATAACATATATAAGAATGACGTCTTAAAAAGCAAAAGTTGTTTAGTCTGATGGGCATTTCCTGTTGACTTACAAAAAATAAAGATCTAGAACGTCTCGAATCGTCTCGCGAACCACGTTGTTTTCCCGTCCCCGGGCTCTTAGAATTCAACATCAGACATTTCAGATCTTCGATTTTGACGACCCCATTGTCGCTAGCATAAGCAACAGGATCCGCGTACGAAGTCGCGGGCAGAAGCTAGTATAATCTCTCTAAATCTGTACTCTGAAAGAACTATACGCTACGCGTCGTAATGATTGGGATTGTAAAGGATTTGAATCATTATGTGTGAGTCTATCGGCACGTTTTCTCAACTCAAATTGTAACTTGAATATTATTTTAGTTTATATATCACCAAATGATAACATATTAACCCGATTGTATTTATGAATTCCGAAACAACTTTGAACGCTTTTACCTACTTGCACCCTCTGACCATTATCTTATAGTTGGCGATTTTAACGTACCTTGTTTAAAATGGAGCTCCTCAGGATGGTCGACTGGACTGGATCTATGTTTCTCAAACGTTTGGAAATCAACCATTCTGACCCTTTGTCTAAAGTCGACACCTTACACCCACCTTTTACCATTGATATACAAGACATTTTTGTAAAACCATTTAAAGAATATTTTCACTCAAAATACAATTTCCGAAAATGTAATTATGTTAACATAAATACCTTTTTAAAAAGAGTAGACTGGGATCAATTATTATTAAACACAAATACAGTCGACCAAGCCGTTGATATTTATTATGAAAAACTCCACGAATCTTTTACTTTATTTGTACTATCACACTATCTTAAAATAACTTAAAATAATTCGTGAAAAATTTAAGGCATACAAAAAATGGAAAAAATTTAACAACCCTCGTGATTATGAGGAGTTTAAGCTTCTCAGGGATAGACTACATAGAACAAAAAAAATGTTTTGATGATTTTATTCGTAATACTGAGAAAAATTTAAAGAATTCGCCTAAGTATTTCTGGAAATTTGTTAAGTCTAAAAAGGGAAGATCTAATTATCCTCGTAATATTACCCTAAATAACGTTATTTACACAGAGGGACAGGATATTTGCTCTGCCTTTAATGCCTTCTTTCAAAGTGTACTTACTGTTTCCCCTTTGACTAATTCTAGTTCACACTTTTGTAATACTGTCTTTTCGTCATGGAGTGATGATACCTCTCAAATTGACGTTTCTCAGGATTTTATACTAACATGTCTGATAAACTTGGACACCTATAAGGGAGCGGGTTACGATGGAGTACCTCCAGTTTTTCTGTCAGCCTGCGCCGAGAGCCTTAGTTATCCAATTACGTTGCTCTTTAAGCTTTCCCTCAGAGAATGTGTGTTTCCCACACTTTGGAAAAAGGCATATATAATACCGGTTCATAAAAAAAGGTTCTAAAACAAAAATTGATAATTATCGTCCAATTTCTATTCTCAGTACAATTGCTAAAATATTTGAGAGACTTATTTTTAATAAAATCTATGCTACAATACACACATCCCGAGTACGCAGCATGGTTTTCTGAAAAAGCGTTCTACTATTTCCGATCTTGCAAATTTCACTAATTACGTTGTTCATGAAATGGAAGGTGGATATATGGAGTTCAAGTTGACGTGATCTACACCGACTTTGAAAAAGCCTTCGACCGTGTGGACTACGTCATACTTCTTCAGAAGCTGCAGTCTCTCGGCATTCATGGGGACTTACTGAGATGGATTAGATCTTATTTGACTAACCGCTCTCAAGCTGTGGTTCTAGGCGGTTATAGGTCAGATTTCGTAACGGTTCCCTCTGGTGTTCCTCAAGGCTCCCACCTTGGTCCTCTCTTTTACAACGCCTATATTTATGATATATGTCAATATATAAAAAATTCTCAACATTTACTTTATGCTGATGATAAAAAAATATATCTGCGTGTACGCACTATCAAGGACTGTGAACTAATTCAAAATGACTTAAATATATTATACCATTACTATGTCGCTAACAAAATCACGGTAAATGTTGGTAAGTGTCAGTGTATTTCATTTACGAGGAAAAATAATCCCATAGTTTTTTCACACAATTTCAATGGTGTTATAATCGAGAGGACTACGGTGGTGCACGATCTTGGCGTATATTTTGACTCCCGTAAGTCAATGAATGAGCATATAGATGCTACTTGCAGTAAAGCGTTTCGTAATTTGGGATTTGTAGCTAGAACTTGTCTTCCTTTCTCTAATTCTCAAAGCCTAAAAGTAGTATATTTCGCATATGTAAGATCTATATTAGAGTACGCCTCTCAGATATGGTCGCCATTTTATGCTAAATATGTTCATAAAATCGAAAGGATTCAAAATAAGTTCGTTTCCCATTTAAATTTTAAATTTAGACGTTCTGGCTCTTCATATCGAGATGATTGCAGATTTTACAGTCTGTTACTGCTTGAAGAAAGACGTATTCTGCTGGATATGGGGCTTTTATTCGATATATTACAAGGAGGAATTGACTGCCCTGACTTATTGGCTTTCATTAAATTTAATATCCCATTGAAACGTACCAGACATACTAGAAACTCTTTGTTTTACATACCCTTTCACCCGACCAGTTATGGGAAAAACAATGTTCTAACGCGTTTTAGTAGCAACTTACGACAAAAAATTTAGCGCAATTGATCCTTTTAATAATACTAAAAGTGGATTTAAAAAAAATTAACAAGTTTTTATTCTATCCAGCTGAAGGTAATCAGTAAATCTACTATATAAAAATAAGTCGGGTTTTCATTCCTGACGCTATAACTCCAGAACGCATGAACCGATTTCGACGGTTTTGCGTTTGTTGGAAAGGTCTCGGGCTCCGTGAGGTTTATAGCAAAGAAAATTCAGGAAAAATTTCAACATAAAAACGGGAAAATCTTTTTTCACATACAGCGCCATCTCTGATACATATCATGTACTACAAACCAATATTTTAAGTAGATGGCGCCGGTGCGTGATACATTGTTTGACAGCTACTCATTGTTCTCTGCTTAGTTAATTTCATGTGACAAACCGGTATTGTGTTCACTGTGAAATTGTGAAAAAAAAGTAAAAAAAAATAAGTTATTCGTTTCCTAACATTACAATTGGAAACCATCAAATCAATCACGTGTATTGTGCAAATTTTTATTCAATTTCAACAGCAGGCATTTGTCTTTAAAGCGGTAAGTTGAACTGTGTAAATTATGTGTATCATGCAATTGAGATTAAATTCACCATTCTGTCCATAGTCCAAAATGCCTAGAGGACGACGTGCGAACATCGGCCGCCGCACAAGACATGCAAGCCAGCAACAAGTGTATTCACAGAACTTAAGCGAAGAAAGACAAAATATAATAAGAGAAAATGCCCGATTGAGACAACGCGTGAGCACACGAAGATCATTGGCATCATACAATCGCTTGGCATTCCAATATGATCCCATTGCGAACTACAGTGATGATGAAAATTTAGATATTGGACCAATGACGACTATATACCGATATTGCAATGCGTTAAAGTTCAAAAGAGAAACGGCTGGATTGTGCTGCGCAAGTGGAAAATTCAAACTGGATCCATTACTTACACCACCACAGCCACTGAAACCATTGTTCGATGGAAGTGATCCCGATTCCAGCCATTTTTTTCAACACATCCTTGAATACAATGACTGCTTTCGCATAACTTCCTTTGGAGCTAATATCATTCGAGAAGGCGGCTTCATGCCAATTTGCAAGGTAAAAGATACAACACACATAACCAATCACTCACACCAACACAATGAATTGCAACACATAACAACTACATATACACCACACACTACACCATCACACGATCAGAAGTTACACCGTATTCTTCAACAAATGATTGTTTGCAAATACAGGTACAAGGACAAATATATCATTTGCATGGTTCAATGGTGCCAACACCAGATGAACCGCATCAATTTCTGCAAATATATTTCATTTCGTCGATGGTGGATCAGCTGAATGTGCAGTGCACTATACAGGAAACACAACAGTTAAAGAGACGAATTATTGAACAGTTGCAAGCATTTTTTCACGCTAATAATGCTGTGGTTAATATGTTCAAAATAGCATTGGAACGAATGCCATCGGATACGCACAAATTTGTCATAAGAGCGGATTGTACCCCAACAGGTGAACATGTGCGAAGATTCAATGCACCCACCGTTAATGATGTTGCTGCAATTATTGTTGGCGATCCAACTAAATCGCGAGACATTGTCGTTCAGCGAAGAAGCAATATCATGCATCTTGTAAACGAGACACATCGTTTGTACGATGCGCTACAATATCCAATCATTTATTGGCAAGGGCAAGACGGATACAACGTCACGTTGAAGATGGTCGATCCAATCACAGGTACAATATTCACACACTAATTATTGCTATTATATTGGTTTCATTAACAATTCATTTAATTTTGCATTTTCAGGCGTATCAACGAATAAAAATCTAAGCGCAATGAATTACTATGCGTATCGTATGATGATTCGTACACATGAGGAGAATGTCATTCTGAAGTGCCGTCGGCTATTCCAGCAATTCGCTGTCGACATGTATGTCAAAGTCGAGACCGAACGTTTAGCGTTCATCCGATTCAATCAGGCAAAGCTACGATCTGAGGACTATATACACTTGCGTGATGCTATTCATTCAGATGGTGATGTTCAGAATCATCTTATATCGGAAGCCCACGCCACATGCACGAATATGCTCAAGACGCTATGACGTACGTACGAAATTATGGAACTCTGGATTTATTTATTACGTTCACATGCAATCCGAAGTGGACGGAAACTGAACGTGAGTTGGAACCGGGCCAAAAACCGCAAGATCGCCATGACATAATCGCCAGAGTATTTCAGCAAAAACTCAAGGTTATGATGGAAGTGCTTACTAAGTATCGAGTTTTTGGTGACACACGTTGTTATATGTACTCGGTGGAATGGCAGAAGCGTGGACTACCACATGCTTGGTTGCTGAACAAATTACATTCAAATGAAGTGGATGACATCATATCAGCTGAAATTCCTGATCCAGTCACTGATCCCCATCTACACGACATTGTGACGACACAGATGGTGCATGGACCGTGCGGTGCATTAAATCCATTATCGCCTTGCATGGCTGATTGAAAGTGCACAAAACGATATCCGCGACCGTTAGTTGCTGAAACAGTCACAGGGAACGATGGATATCCAGTTTATTGTCGGCGTTCAAAAGAAGATAATGGTCGAACTATCAAAGTTAAAGTTCAAAATCAAGAGATTGAGATCGGAAATGAATACATTGTACCATATTGCCCGCTGCTATCACGAATTTTCTAAACACATGCAAACGTTGAGAGTTGTCATTCGGCCAAATCAATCAAATATTTGTGCAAGTACGTCACAAAAGGCAGCGACATGGCTGTGTTTGGTATTGCGTCGGAAAATGCGAATGACGAAATCAGCAACTTCCAAATGGGCAGATACGTCAGTACTAATGAAGCACTGTGGCGATTATTGTCATTTCAAATTCATGAAAGATATCCCACAATTGTACATTTAGCAGTGCATTTGGAAAATGGCCAAAGAGTTTACTTCACTGAGGCGAATGCGGCACAACGAGCTGAGAGACCACCATCGACAACATTGACTAGCTTCTTTGCAATGTGTGAAGCAGATCCATTCGCAGCGACGCTGATGTACGTTGAAATGGCCAAGTATTACACTTGGAATCAATCAACAAAGAAATTCCAACGTCGCAAACAAGGAACCCCAGTTCCAGATTGGCCACAGGAGTTTTCCACTGATGTACTAGGTCGCATGTATACTGTTTATCCTAGAAATGATGAATGTTTTGATTTGCGACTGCTGTTGGTAAATATACGTGGACCAAAATCATTTGCGTATTTGAAAACTGTGAATGGCCACCAATGCCAAACATATCGAGAAGCATGTCAACTATTGGGTTTGCTGGACAACGATTCTCATTGGGATTTAACACTTGCGGATTCAGTTGTTTCATCAAATGCGTACCAAATACGAACGCTGTTCACAATTATCATCACCACATGTTTTCCTTCACAACCAATTCAGTTATGGAACAAATACAAAGACGACATATGTGAAGATATCTTGCATCGCTTGCGCATTCAAACAAATAATCCTGACATCTAAATAACCGATGAAATCTACAATGAAGGATTGATTCTGATTGAGGATCAATGCTTGACTATTGCAAACAAGCTACTGATTGAAGTAGGAATAATTGCGCCAAATCGGTCGATGCACGATGCATTCAACCAAGAATTAAATCGAGACCTGCAATACAATGTTGATACATTGCAGGAATTCGTTCGTAATAATGTGCCGTTGCTGAATGAACAGCAAAAACAAGTATACGAAACATTAATGCTAGCAGTGGACAATAATACTGGTGGTCTATTCTTCCTGGACGCACCTGGAGGAACAGGGAAAACATTTGTCATTTCATTGATTTTGGCCACTATTCGATCAAGATGTGACATAGCTTTGGCGTTAGCATCATCTGGAATTGCGGCGACTCTTCTAGATAGCGGTCGTACTGCACATTCTGCGCTTAAGTTGCCACTCAATTTAAACACAATTGATACTCCAACATGCAATATTTCCCGATCCAGTGCAATGGGAAAATTGTTGATGCAATGCAAGCTCATTGTTTGGGATGAGTGCACAATGGCACATAAGAAATCACTTGAAGCACTTAACTTCACACTGAAGGATTTTCGGCGAAATAACAACATCTTTGGCGGCTTGATGATATTGTTAGCATGCGATTTCAGGCAGACGTTGCCAGTAATTCCCCGTGGAAAGCCTGCAGATGAATTGAATGCTTGCCTGAAGGCATCACCTTTATGGAATAACGTAAAAAACATTATCGCTAACCACTAATATGAGAGTTCAACTTCAAAATGATCAAAGTGCTGCACAATTTTCCAAACAATTGTTAGCTGTTCGAAATGGAATAGTCCCAGTTGATGCGACATCTGGATTAATTACTCTTACCAACGACTTTTGCCGATTTGTAGACTCTCAATTAGCTCTTATTGAAAATGTTTTCCCAAACATTAGTGAGAATTATCAGAATTATGCTTGGTTAAGTCAACGAGCAATTCTTGCCGCAAAGAATAATGATGTACACGCACTGAATTTCACCATTCAATCAAAAATTGCTGGCGATTTGGTGACATACAAATCCGTTGATTCCATAACAAATCCCGATTATGTAGTAAATTATCCAACGCAGTTTTTGAATTCTCTGGAGTTACCAGGATTTCCACCACATAACTTGCAACTCAAAGTTGGTACAGTTATTATGATATTGCGTAATTTGAATCCACCGCGATTTTGCAACGGTACTCGACTTTCGGTAAAAAGACTTATGCCGAATTTGATTGAGGCAACCATTATTAACAGAAAGTACGCAGGTGAAAATGTATGTATTCCTCGAATACCAATGATTCCGACTGATTTGTTGACTTCAAACGATTTTTTGACTTCAAACGATTGCAATTTCCAGTTCGCCTGGCGTTCGCAATGGCAATTAACAAGTCGCAAGGCCAATCGCTTAGTGTTTGCGGGATAAATTTAGAAAATCATTGTTTTTCACATGGGCAGTTTTACGTTGCGTGTTCACGAGTTGGGAAACCATCCGCTTTGTTTGTGTTAACGTCGGACCAAAAAACAAAAATGTGGTTTACCAAATAGCACTTCAATGAAACGGATAATTTGCGGACACGTATAACGCTTCGATTCAGTATTTACTTTGGATTCACTTTCATTTACTTAGAGAAGTTCAACTAAATAACACTTCATTTTTGTAATCGAAAAGAATTCATTACTGTTGTGAAATGAAATAAAATTTTTTCCTTTTCAAATATAAAACAAAAAAAAATTTCTTCTTCTTTTAATCACCAAACGATATGTTACATAAAACGAAGCCATCTGGTGGCGAAACGGAGTTCGCCGGGTTTGCTAGTTGTAATTAAAATAGTACTCAAATTAATATTTGTGCCCTCATTTAATACTGTTATTATGTATGTATATGTATGTATGTATGTATGTGTGTATGTATGTATTTACGTATATATATATATATATATATATATATATGTGTGTGTGTGTGTATCTGTGTATGTATGTATATATATATATTAGTGTCTCTTTTTAATTTTTATCTATTTTCTATAATAACAATAACACCAAAATATATTTGCATTTATAGATTCATATGTGCGTGTTTGAAAGTGTAATTATGTATGTCTTTTGTACATATATACATCTATATTTGTATATATATATGTTAGCGACGACAAAGTGAATTCGAACATTTAATCTTAATTATTCCTTATCAGTGATTTAAAACTAAGTGATAGTATTTAATTCTAATTGTTTCCTATTTGTTAGCGACGACAAAGTGAATTCGAACATTTAATCTTAATTATTCCTTATCAGTGATTTAAAACTAAGTGATAGTATTTAATTCTAATTGTTTCCTATTCGTAAAATAAAGCTAAGTGTAAAGACTGATAGTGCTGAAAACAGGAAAGTAAATTAAACACTTCTATTCTTATCTTAAAGTAACTTATATGAATCTATTTAATATTATTTAGGTCTGATTAGAACATTAGACGCAAGTATAAGCTTATTTTCTAGTAAGATTTTTTATCATAACTTTAAGAGCTATTA